ATCAGCTTTCTCATTAGTGGTTGCACGAAAACCCTGCGCAGCTTTTCTCTTTTCTTCTTCCCTATTTTCCATTAAATATACATGTCAGTGCGCCTTCAACCGAGCGGCAACTGGTAGCGTGACGGGGCGCGAGGCTCGTGCAATGTGTTGCTCGTATCGGAAACGTATTCAGCGAAGATCGTTTCGTAAACATGGTTGATACATTGTAATTTCACCACCGACAGTCCCGTGTGTTTTTTTTCCATACGATGTAGCTGATGGTTTCCTGTCTCTGTTGACAGTCAACACGTAATAATAAATCAGCTCAGTGGGTTTTTCAATGGTGACTTATAAACACGAGGAAGTTGCAGTTTTTAATCGTGTATGTTATCGATCTACAGCTTATCTGGGTATGGTTAGTACATACCTAGTACTTCAGTATTTAGTATGGTGCTCTCTCACATAGTGACCTATTAAACTCAAAGATGGATTGTATTGTGATTGACTAAAAATGTCATTTTAAATATAAATATATAGCCTACACTGTTCATTTAGAATGGTCAAATTTCTTTATAATCGCTTAATTTTCAATGATCCAGCTGAAATTCCAAATCTTCTCTGGTAAATTAAATATATGGGCTAAACAAGCCATTGGAAGATGTCACTGTGGGTTCTGTGAAATTGTGATTTATTCACTATCTTTATCTTTATAAACAAGTGGTAAATTAAATAAAAACATCAGATAAATAGATGATGAATGAAAACAAAAAATGTGTTTGAGCCCAACAGCCAGGAAAAGACAACACTGAAAACTGTCCTCACAATAATGATATTGTGTGTCGGGCGCTTCGGGGTGGGCGATGAAATATTCAGTGTATCCATATAATTTATTAACTTTCATTTGAGTTGTATGAAATGTATTGTGGAAAATGATTTTCTCAAAATCAGAACAAAATTTGAATTGTAAACAAACTAAAGTTTTGTTTGTTTTGAGAGTATTGCAGGCCAAAAAGTGCAACACAGCTCAGTGTATGCAAAGTCACATCACCTATTCACTTGATGTCTAATGCGTGTGCCACATATTGATATTATGATACTGATTTCAACTATACCACACAGCCCTAATTTGCTGTATCTTCAAGCTCTACATGTTCTTATTTGCACAGCTGTATGCTACCAAACGTATGCCAAACCTCAGAGAAACTATCCCGTGGTAACGACAAAAATAACAGCCGTCAGTTTTTATAACTGCACCCATTATACACGAGCAGAAAATCTCCACGTTTCACGCAAAAGGGTCATGGTTCACTTCAGATTAAGGATGTCAACTATTGTTTTGTGACTGCATATATGTGTAATTCTGTAACCGTCTGGTGTAGGTGGGGCGAAAGCTGTGATCAAAGTAGGTCATACAATCATTAAACATTAATTTACGGTGTTCCCTATGTCATAGGCAAAATAAAACTTTTACCTCATCATACATGACACATGAATGATGTAATGCGAACATCAGCTGACGAGAAGGAAGACATACGGCCTCTCACCAGGTATTTCCTCCATTCTCCGAATGTTTGAAATAGTCGGTGGGTCACCTGAACAAGTTTACACCGGCTGGAGCTGCGTTGCAGCATTCAAGAGTTCACTTTCTCACACGGAGCCGTAAAGAGTTTCCTGCCGATCCGGTACAGACACTCATGACTTCTGATATTGTCTCTTGGACAGAAACTGTGAAGGTGAGATCAGGCGTAGGTGTAGGGACTTTTTTGTTGTTTGATGTTTAATAACATTTAAAGTTGATCATCTGACGACAATAACTGAGCATATTCAGTGTCCTCGAAAGGTATATTTCATAAAATAAAAATGCGTTAAGTCAATGAGCTTGTGTATAGAGGCTGATGTTTAGTTAAAAGAAAATATCTCAATATTAGTTGGACATACGCTGGTAGATTTTACATTTGTCACAAATGTACACTGGGAACAGAATTGGTCTCTAAAATATGAAACTGTAAGGCATCAACATGTCTTAATAAAGTGCATACATTTAGTAAATGTTCTGTCCATTCTAACGGGAAATTCAAAGACGTACTGTTGTCTAATTTTCTAGAATTAGATTTGGATGATGATATTAAAATCTTACTGTAAACACTGGTGTTAAGTGCTCACAGTGGACTACCGTGCAATAATTTGATTCGACCTGTTCAAAATGTTAAATCCTTAACTTCCTGACCGTTTCATGGTGTTGGGCCCCCGTGGCTCTGGGTGCAGCTGTACTGACTGCACCTCCTGCTGCTCTGTTCACCAGTATGCGTTCATGATTGAGGTAGATATGACTTTCTACTGTATGTGACCCCGAGGGAGCACGAGGTCTCATTGACTCATTTAAGTTCAACACAAAATATGCTGCTCTGATGGGAATCTTCTCCAGTTTTGATGAATACAAACACTCCTGGACTTTACTGTCTTCTGGTTGTATACGTTTCCTGCTGAACATATACTGTCACTGAGTCAGCTGTGACACACACACACACACAGTATGCACTGTAACAAATATATTGTGACCGAGCTTCATTATGGGAACCAGAGACTATAGTGACTTGTACCCGACAATGACTTTACTATGGAGAAGTTAAGGAGGTCTCTCTGTGTCTCTCTTTGCCCCTGAGTGGTGTGAAAGTGAAAGGTTGTATGTGATCAACAGAATCAATTTTACAGTGTATAATGTATAACCTGGATTAAAACAGCAACAGCAGCTAATAACTTATTGAAAGCTGAACCAGATGTAAAAACAATGCTTGCATAGACAAACATCTGTAAACTAATCTCACATGTGTGTGTGTGTATATATATATATATATATATATATATATATATATATATATATTTATATTTCGCCACTTCAGGTCATTCCCTCTATTAATCCATTGATTGTGTGATTAAAGATATTAAGTTTAGCCATTTTGGTCAAAAAAGGACTTTCATGATTATTTAAATTTATCTGTCAGGCTGCATATATTTTCATAATATGCCAGTACATTTGGGCCATATAAAGAAAATACTAAACATTTTATAATATAGAATAATTTTGACCAAATACCTCAATATTGCAACAGTATTGTATGGTTGACCATCGGTGCTTTCACAAAATACTTTCATAGTGAGATTTTTGATAAATAGTCATCAGTAATGTGAATATGAAGAGTCTGATATTAGGCCTCATATTACAATATCAATATAACATTGATATTTTGCGCAGCCCTAAGGGAGATTTTCAGAAGACAACTATGCGTACGCAAGGCCTTTATGGGTGCGATGCAAAGGGGCAAAGTGTGTCTGTTTCTGCCTTTGTGCACCTTTTTGAACCTACACAGCTTATGCAGACGGCAGGTGTTTGGTCCCAGTTAGGAGGACACATTAGTTTCCCGCTGGCTACTGGGAGCTCCAGCACGGGGCTGAACATGTTAGACGGGTGGTCAGTTGCTTGGTGTCAGAAGGGCTGTAGCAATTCTAGCCTCCCCTGGCCAGTGTCAGAGACCCAACTGCGGTGGTGCCAAGCGGCACTATCTACTGTAGCTGGCAGCCTCATACTAAACAATGGGCCGCTCCAACACACAGCTCTGCCTTTGTCACTCCTGATCCTTGTGCCGTGCTCTGGGCCTGTGTGGGCCCGGCTGGTTGGCTGCATGACTCCAGTCACACAACAGAAAAGACCCAGTTTTATGGCTATACATTTGTTAAAGGTAGACTTTATCTAGTCCTTTTTGTAGGGACCATTTTTCCATGTGACAGCCTCTATTGGCTGTGGTTGGTTACATCAGCAGTAATGAGTCCTGTTTTAGTTTCTAAATGACTAAAAGGTATCCACATGTAAACAAGACCATTCATGAAGCCCTCCTGCAAGTCACTGCCATGGCGTGCCTAAAATCGGAGCTGCCAGTTTCATCCAAACTGATGGGGATGACGTTTTTCATCGTCATCTTCAATCATACCTGCGTCATGTTCCACCTCATCTCTCTCGTATGCTTTCCTTCCCGACACAAGCCTCAGGCTGAAAACATCGATTCTAAAACTATTTATCGGCGTAGAAGGTTATACCCGGTGTTTTTGGTCGTCCACAAGGCGCTCTGTGTGACGTGGCAGAGGCAGAGAGTATAATGAATCCTACGGCAGTCATATAGAGCAGCACCACATCACAGGCGAGCTGACGCTGAGAGCCTCTCTTCAGGGGGGTTGCGTCAGCCGGGAGGAGAGAGTGACGTCACTCCCAGGCAGCTCAAAGCATTGCAACTCTCGCTGCCCCCTCGATGCCTCGTTACTGTCAAAGACCTCCTTGGCTGAGACAAGAGTCCTCGATGAGCGGTCCAAAGCCTCCTCTCTTGTGTTTGCAGAGCAGAGGCTTTATGGCCAAACAAAGCGAACCCGAGAATGTAAAAGAGTAGCTCTCCACACATTCACAGTGTCTTTATAAGGCAATTGTAGCAGCGTGGCCATCAAATCGTCGTCTTAGTTACTTATTTGCTATTTTGTAAAACGAATGGTGTTTTCTCTTGTGGTGAATAAGTGACTGGGGCCAATGGTTTTAAAGCCTCTGCAAAAAATGAAGATAAAGCACAAACGACGTCCTCTTAACATTAACATGATTTCCTGTGGAGAGGAAGGGCTGGACTCGGCGTAATTGTTGAATTATAGAAAATGGAACTGAAAATTTAATCTCGGAGGGTTAGACTTCTGGACAGCAGACTGTAAAACAGCCTGTAAAACAAGGAGAGGGGGTTGGGGAGGGGTGGTCCAAACATTTCTGAGGAGTGTCTAAGTGCTTCGTGACCCACATTCAGGCTCCCCAAGGTAAAGGAAGTGGCAACTCGCACGTTGAGCGTGCACGCATGCGTGTGTGCACGTTAAGCGTGTGCACTCAAACAGATCTGACATACCTAACCGAGACACGCATTTAAATACATGCTCACATAATTTACACCCACCCACAGATGAATATATACACATACTTTATAGTATTTGGACATATTGTCAAATAAATCCTCCAAATCTGCCCATTGTCCTCTCTCACACACACACACACACACGTAAATTCGGGGCACTTTGGGGCGGGCCGAGCAAACGGCGCAACGAACAACACAAAAGGCTGATTGAGTCGGGAAAGGTCAGAGCCGGGCTCAGATGGCCTTTTGAACCAGACTGGGGGTGTTTGAAGAGCCAGGCCACCCTCCAGGCCCCCACCCAGCCCCACCCTTTGCAGCACCCTCATTTGGTCTGAAACCCATACAGGATACCTATGTTTGTCTGATGGAGGACTTCCCATCCTTCTCTCTCTGTGTGCCTGTTGAACTCATAGTATTTCTGTCTCTCTGTCTTTGCAGGTGTCAGCTGGTAAAGCGTGGGTGTGTGAGTGAGTGCGTGTGCGTGTGTGTGTGCAGGCACGTGTGTGTTCCCAGCCCTGTCAGTATTTGGAGTGGAGTGTGGCCTGAACAAATCACAGAAGGACAATGAGCGAGCTGGAACAGTTGCGGCAGGAAGCCGAGCAACTACGCAATCAGATCCGGGTACGGCGACACTCTATTTTGTGCATGTGTTTGTTTACATTTACGTATTTGTGTGTGTGTGTGTGTGTGTCTGTGTGTGTGTGGTTCACTTGTGTCCATCACATGGGTGCCACTGTCTGTTCACTGGAAGCTGTGACTCTCACAGTTTCAGATGAGACAGTGACACACTCGACATACAACTTGTCAATCAGCCACCTCCATTCTCGTGCAAATTGCATTGTGGGAACTGATCGATAAATGTCACTTTGCTGCTGTGTGATCATTCTGTGATCATTGGGATATTCAGTTTCTGTGATGAGCAACAACTCATGGCACTTGTTTAGACACTTATTTAGAAGTAATTCTTGCAAAGTTTGTCTTTTTGTTACATTATTTCCGTGCGTTTGTCTGTGCAGTGGTTACATGCGTTAAGCTTAGCTGGTCAACATGATTATTATGGTTTTTGTTGTCTTGCAGGATGCCAGGAAAGCCTGTAGTGACTCCACTCTGTCACAGGTAAGACTTCCTCTCCACATGTAGAATATTGTGTGCACATTCAGCGGTGTATTCTCCTCAAGGAGGGAGTGTTCAAGACATGTAATGTTACTCTAAATGGCCCAAACCATTAAGAATATGAAACGCATCTGTATAACAAAATTGAGGTTGCAAATTTTCACAAGGCACAACGCTCGGGTGAGCCGACTAGATTCATTAAGCTTTGTTCCATTAACTAGTAATGTAGTCTGTTTTATTCTGTTGTAGTTTAAGCCACATGTGGACAGCACTGAAGCTAGGTAAGACTAGTGAATGAATACATGTACTGACTAGCTTTAGTGGAAGTCGATGGCTAATCAAGGTACAAGTTTTAAAATGGGCATTCGAAATTCCTCAGCCCATCTTTATTTACACACACAATCCATATTAATACTCGACAGACATTATACACTAATATAAGCTTTACTATTCTTTGCCATGGTCCATTGTTGAGCGACGTTTGTCTGTTTTTGCTGACTCAGCTAGCGTCCAGTTTGGGGGGGGGGGGATGTGTTGATGATAACTGTGTGGGCCTCGAGTGACACTGCTGACGCCGTTTCCTGTGTTTTGGCAGATCACAGCTGGTCTGGACTCAGTGGGCCGGATACAGATGCGAACGCGACGCACTCTCAGGGGCCACCTGGCCAAGATCTATGCAATGCACTGGGGGAGCGACTCCAGGTAGAGTAGTAATTCTACAGACAACCCAATTATTAGTTCAGAGCAGGATAGGCAATTAACCGTTTTATACGATTTTTTTGGTCTGATTCATGTTTTTATTGTACGTTTGAGGCATTAAAGAAAAGAATGATGCAGTTTTAAACCCTCAGATTATCGTCAACTTGTTTTTAGATGTTCAGCATAGTATATCATATATATATATATATATATATATTATTTATTTTATTTTTTTAAATCCCTGAAGACACTGAAGCACAATTCTATGTAGGTCTTATTAATTAACCTACGGTGGCCCTCAGGGGACAAGTGTCACAGAAAATGCACACAAAGGGATGTTAACTATGATCACCACCGTGTAGTCAATTTAGTTTTCTAATTTTATCAGGATTATATGAACTTTTGAAGGTCATTTCTGTCACTGCTAAGAGTTTCTAGACTGCCAGTTTCAGCATTGCGACTGTTAGCACTACAGCTCTAACTCTGAAGATGTACGGTATGACCGGCATCGGCAATAAAGTGCCACCAGCATGCAGGTTTCAGGTCCAGGCAAACATGGACACACCTTCAGCCACAGTGCAGGACCTTTACAATAAAATCACCTGTATGGCTTCATCTCTTTTTTTTGGAAAATTGACTTCACGTTTAATTTCTCACATTAGTTGTAATACCACCAACTTGATTGTCGATATCGAGGCAGTGTAGCATAACTTCAGTTATGGCAGCAAATCGGAACCAATTACCAACTCTCTCTGCAAATACAATCCAAAGATGGTTCTCAACTTTGTACATGACTGGTATTAATATTATTATTTCTGTGTTTAATATGTCTGTCACCCTTATCTTTCTCTCTGTCCATCTGTCTCCCAATGCAATGCACTGGGGCAGTGACGGCAGTCCCAGGTGTGGGGCTTTACTACTACCAGTACCACTACTACTACCACTACTACCACTACTACTATTCTACTAATATGACTAATACCACCATAATTGACTGTCACTACTGTCACCTCCACTACTACTGTACATGTGTCTTAGTGCTAGCACTGTTTTACGCCCTCACTTTGAGCACAGTAATGATATTAGCTGAGCACAGAGACAGTCAACCAGCATAGCTTATTTAATATTTAGTTAAAGATGCAGTTTGTAAGATCTCAAGCTTTTTTTTTTCCTTTTGTTTCCCGCAAATGTTATGACGATCACAATGAATCCTCTCGTCCAGATTGGACTGCAAATGTGCCAGCTCACATTGACTTGTCACTAAATTTAGAACTTACAAACTGCTTTTTTAACCATTTGCTGCAATTATGAGCACCAAGAATCATATTTTCCCAATATTATGCATGCAGTGCACTGGTCTTTATTCATAGAAAATGAGCTGGAGGATGGCATAGACAAAAAGTAGTTTTGTTTTTATGGTAACATTTTGTTGATTTTTAGAAATCCTCGATCACACACTAATGTGTTCAAGCAAATTTAGTTTGCTCTTTTTGTCACCAGTAAAACCTACTTTTATTGCCTGCAGCGGATGATGCATAGGCTGTTACGTTACGTGATTGTTCTGTTAAGTGTGTGTGTGTGTGTGTGTGTGCGCGTGTGTGTGTGTGCGCGTGCGCACCCACCCAGCACCCTCTGGGTGACCCTGCAGGAGGCCTGTGTTTATTTTGTATACAGCCACTGACATTTTAGCGAGATGGCTCTCCTCCTGATTGTAGCATAGCACCGTCAAACCACTTCCTGTCCCTGGATCGGCAGGGATACCCACCAAGTCAGGGAGGGGCTCCAGCTGTTTTGGCATCTGTACCACCTATAACTCTAATTCTGTACCGACTATTTCTACTTCCACCATCCTCTCTGCATTCCTTTATGCTGTCCCTTCTTGCTGCCCCACCCCAGCTTCTTTCTAGTGCTTTCCCAACTCCTCAGGCTTCAACCTCCCACTCGACAGTAGGACTTTTACATAACTGGGGTAATGAATATTACATGGCGTGGGACATTAAAAGTGGCTTCCCTGTATGAGGAGACTTCCACTAGGAGGGGGAGGAAGAAGGAACATGGAGGGAAATGGACACTGGTAGAGAAGAGTAGAGAGCTCACGCTGAATGCTTTTTGACAGAGCACCTTATACTTATTCAGACGGTATAGCACAGTATTCTGTTAGGTGGCTGCTGGCTCTCATTGCTTGTAATGACCAAGGTGCATGTACCTTGTGTTTGTTTTTTAAGTGTGTGCCAGATGTCATGCTGTTCTTAACTTTTTTTCCCCAGGTTACTTGTCAGTGCCTCGCAAGATGGAAAGCTTATCATCTGGGACAGCTACACGACAAACAAGGTGAGATTATTGATCGTCAGTGATAGGATGTATAATATGTACAAGAACAGGTAAAGTACATTTAGAGGTTTTCTGCTCTCAGTAATGTGCTGCTCCTGTCAGACTCCACTGACCCTCCTCTTGGAGAGATTCTTTGACAAGCCGATAACTGTCCAGATGTTACTTTTAGAGTACAGGCTGTAATTAATGCGCCGGCTGTCTTGAACACAATACTGTTGTAAATATGTTGTGACAAGCCAACATCCAAATGACAGCTATCGGGCTGCCTGGAGGTTCTTTATATGTTCATTTAATTAATCTGGCTGGTTAAATAGTGAAAGTAAACACTCTCTTGACGTTATTTATTTTTCATAAAACCTCACCGCCATCTGAACCTCTACTACTTAAACTATATGAAGATAAGCCGAGCAACAAACCACCCCAGGCTGTTTTGTGCTGTCCTCTTGCACTAAATATGAAGTTAATATCATATCATTATATCATGATATAATTATGTTACCATGTTGGTTATTGGCATCTTTTGTAACCGCGCCACCCAGACAAATGGAAGAAGGCCTCCTTTCATTTTTCTAAAGTACTGAGATGAAGTGGCAGGATTTTTTTGTCAGCTGATGACCTAACAGTATCATCATCATCATTTTGGATTGAAACAACATTAATTGACCTTTTTAAAGCTCAAAGTTGCTACTTTATTGTATTTTTAGTCAAGAAATGCTTCCTGACTCTCTTCGTCCTCAGATGCATGCCATCCCGCTGCGTTCTTCCTGGGTGATGACGTGCGCCTACGCCCCCTCTGGGAACTATGTGGCCTGCGGAGGCCTGGACAACATCTGCTCCATATACAGCCTGAAGACCCGAGAGGGCAACGTGCGTGTCACCCGTGAGCTACCCGGACACACAGGTAGGCAAGAAATAATATGGATAAAAGCCTATCGTTGGCTGGACTCAACAGAACCAGTAACCCTGAGCATTTTTTCTTTTTATTTCTACACTAAATAACTCGTTACATTTTTCCCAAAGTGTAATTTCAGATATTGTGCACTGTTGGCTTGTTCAATGAGTTAAACAATGGAAAGCTACACAAGCTGTTATTTTCCAATGGATCTCATGTGTTTTTCACAGGCTTATTTATATGCATGTCTCTTGGCGCAAATATGTTCTTGAAGTGTTAATTTCACATTTCACTTGCCCAGATCTGTGTCGGTTTTGTCTTTCCCCGCAATGCAAGCGTGATGTAGAGTAGAACTTTGCTCACAGTGGATTTAATTAGTCCTATTAGTACTATTTTATCATGGTCAGAAGTTGCCTTAATAGTAGTTTCACTAATGTTCTAGAGCCTGCACATCCATGAAGGTTTAGGGACTTGAGTGCTACTGTTTAAAACTTGTATACGGCAACATTGTGAAGAAGGACAAGCACAGCAGTAAACATTCAGTTGTGGCAGTCCAGCATGCGAGTAGTTAACGAGTAGAGTGCCTGACTAGACAGGACAGAGGTCTCCTTATCTGATGTTGAAGCTGTTTGCCGCCAGGTTACTTGTCCTGCTGTCGTTTCCTGGATGACAACCAGATACTGACCAGCTCCGGAGACACCACCTGGTGAGCAACGACCCTCTGCTCTCACCTGCACAGCTTAAAGAATTAATGGAATACCCTTTGGGTGGATTTTACAAAAACACTTTGCTCTATAGCCTGTAATGTGTGAGACTAGATTCCCACGGCATAATTCTATAGAGTTGTGTAAAGATGCATATAGACATAGCCCTTCAATAATTGCACTAAAATTGTAATAATTCACATAAATCGATTAATACAGGAGCTAGTATGCCCTTATAATATGTGAATGTTTTCTTTTAGCTGTTTGTGTAAAAACATTTATTGTCTCAGTGGACACACCTAACTACTACCTCCTTTTCTTGTAGTGCATTGTGGGACATAGAGACAGGCCAGCAGGCCACTGTCTTCAGCGGACACACGGGGGATGTGATGAGTTTGTCTCTCAGCCCGGACTTCAAGACCTTTGTGTCAGGAGCTTGTGACGCCACCTCCAAGCTGTGGGACATCCGTGATGGCATGTGCAGGCAGTCCTTCACCGGCCACGTGTCCGACATCAACGCCGTCACCGTGAGTACTGCAACTTCACACACACACACACGCACTCTGCAGGAAGAGTGTAGAGATGTATTTGTTTGCACAATAAAACAAAGCAGCAGAAACACAACAAGTTGTGGAGGTGAGATTTCAAAAAAAAAAAAACCTGTCGGGGCTTATAGGAGGAATTTCACCTCGGTAAACATTGGATGAATGTATCGAGGACTTCTGATTTATGATTCAATGTCGCTTGTTTCTTGAAAATTTAAAATCGAACTGAGAAAGAAATGTTATTGTTGATGATTAATTTTTGCTCACTTAACTGTTTTGAGCTTTTCCAAGTAGCAGATTTCTCTTTATCAAGCTGTCCTGACTGCTTGATTTAGATTTTATTTTTATTTTTTCTCCCGCAGTTTTTCCCCAACGGGAATGCCTTCGGCACAGGCTCAGACGATGCCACCTGCAGGCTGTTTGACCTGCGTGCCGACCAGGAGCTGATGATGTACAGCCATGACAACATCATCTGCGGCATCACCTCCGTGTCCTTCTCCAAGAGTGGCCGACTGCTCCTGGCCGGCTACGATGACTTCAACTGCAACGTCTGGGACACTCTGAAAGGCGAACGTGCAGGTAAATGATGCCTAAAGTGTGGTCACTTCATTTAAAAAATAAACATTAATAGCAGATGAGCCCACTCTTGTTTTCTTGTTCAGTGAGAAGAGCAAAAGCTGCACATTCTCAAATATCTAATTTTCTGCAAATCCAGTAGTCGACCAATAGATTCAACTCTAATATCAAGAATGAGTTGCATCCTGGAATGGATATGAACAGACAAATGAGTAGCAAGTTGAAATTGAAGAAACATGGCTGTAGTGTGAACAAGGACTGTGTTGCTGAGTTAAAGTGACCAACCTTTGATTCTGATTTATTTTCTCTGACCTCCAGGTGTGTTGGCCGGCCACGACAACAGAGTGAGCTGCTTAGGGGTGACAGAAGACGGCATGGCTGTGGCCACCGGCTCCTGGGACAGTTTCCTGCGGATCTGGAACTAAACAAACCTCTTCCTTGTTGTACTCAATCACTGCCCTCCAACTTGCTCCCCGCAACCCCACCCACCACATATCCCAACTCATCTGCTGGGCTGGACCTGAGGGGTGCACTGTCAGCCGAAATCCTCTCAACTTCCCCCCCCCCCCCCCGAGTTCTCCTCTCTGCTGGTGACCCGCCCACCTGTGAGAAAGTACCAACTCTTTCTACCTGTCCAAGTGATGTATTTTATTACCCAGCCATCACACAGAAACATAAATAAGAACCTTTCATTAGAGTTGTCCAATCAAAATTAAAGAAAGAGATGAGTTCGAAAAACTGAAGGAAAAGGAAAAGAGAAAGATATTGCCCCAGTACCAATTCTCTTCTAGGGGGCGAGAAAGAGAATCTTTTACCGTGTCAAACAACAAACAAGATGAGTGTTGCTGTGTAATATGTAAATGTATATATAAAGACAGTATATATGTATAGCATTATGTGTGTATATATGCATAATATATGCATATATAATGTGTATGTATATATTTTTGTAGTTTATGTCCCACCCTTTTTTTATGATTTTGAGCGGGGTTTATAGTTTATTTCTAATGTACATATTCACATTACTACTTGCCAGAAACGTATATTTTATCCTGTGTGAGTACCAGATTGAGTGTCGGACAATTTAGACACGGCAAAGTGTCATAATTTAACGTAAAAGCCTCCTTTCATTTGATCATATTTCTGGTACTTGCTGTTAAATCAAGCCCACTTGTCCAGCAACAAAAGAGGATTTAGCAAGTAAACAAAAACAATTTCCAAAATATACACTTTGGCCCAGCTAAACTCACTTTCCTCAACTGTATGTGTGTGTATTATTGTACAGGCAGCAAGCGTAATTAATGCATCCTGTATCTGCAAATTCATGTGACTGACAACACGGCCCCTGGCATCCCTCACCACAGTCTTTTCATTTGGAAGGAAACCACCACACTGCTGTGATAATGATTAGAGAGTGTGCTTCAAAACCAACAACTGCTGTTTTTAGTCTGGATTCAGGTTTAGCTCCAAAGTACAAAACTGGTGAATTTCAGGCTAAGATAGAAAACTTTATTTAACCGGAGGCCCTGCCTTGGCCTCTACTCGCATGGATTGTGGTTTCAAATCCTCGACATGCTGAATATCTGAAAACCACATTCATGCCATGCAAACAGCTGTGTGATATGATCGATAACCCAACCTAAATGGAGGTGTTGCATCATAATATCACCCGTCAGCTGTAGCCTATAGAATCTACTTTTCCGTAGAGTTGAGATGAGCATCTCGAGTTGCCCGTACAAATGACACTGATGGAGAAGAAGGGCATCGCAGAGAGAGATGCGCTCTCCTCGAGCAGAAACCGTTTTCTACCTGTGAGCATGTAATGGTGCTGAGGCCTGTACGGACAAATGGTAGAGCGGCCTGTCGTTACGTGAGGATATTTAAAGGACCGTAAAAGACAGCAGTGACTCTGAGGACTAGAGAAAAAAGATGTCTGTCAGAGCTCGCCATGTCATTTTTCTCTTCTATTTTTTTTTTTTTCTCTCTCAAAGCGAAGGATCAATGAGTCCTCTTCGTCGTCAACAAGGTGTGAACTGAGTGACTGCATGGAACTGTAATCATGTTCGCTGCTCCAAAATCACACCAGTGCCACCACAAGCCTGTAAAAAAGAAAAGTTAAAAAAAAAAAGTATTTTTTTTTTTTTTTTTTTTTTTTTTAAAAAAGGGTTTTAACACTTTTTTTTTTCATCACCAAAAACATGTTATGAACTGTTAAATATTGCTTGTGAAGAAAGTACACTTGGTAGACAGAAATGTACACTTTAGTAGAGAGCTATACATGCACTCACAAACTGTAGTACAAATGTAAACCATTGAACACATGTGACTTATTTACCCATAGAAGTGCTGTCTCTGATTTTGAGTATTTTCTCATCACACATCTTCCATTATTTTGGTTCCTCTAAAGGCTTAATTAAAAAAAAAAAAAAAAAAACTTTAAAAAAAAAACCAATGTATGTGAGTTGGACCTATCCATCGGCTGTCTCAGGTGCCTATCTCTGAATATAAACATTTGACCCACACGGGCTAGATAAAGGAGGGTTTGTGCTCCTGTGAGATGTGGCACTATTGTGTCTCCATTCTGCCTTACGATACCATTCACAATAGAAGGTAATACTAGCATCGACTACAGTCATTTTTTTCCTCTTACTATTCCTTTTTACACACTGATCAATAAGAGAGATTGCTAATTATTTTTCTTTTCCCAATAGAAGCACATTCTGATACTAGTGAACACTAAAAAGCATGCTTACAGAAAACCACGCAAACACATGCAGCTCCATACTGCTTCTTAAAGCTTTTTATACAATTCTGCTTTCTACTACTACCACCGCACACTATCACTGTAGTATTTATTTAGGTTCAATCGGCTATCAATGAAACCCCTCTATGGCCTACCGTGATTCTATTTACCTTTTTACGTTCTTAAATGTTTTAGCTGCTTCTACCTGGCTTTGCATTAATGAATCCTTTTTGAGAGAATGTTAAAAAAAATAAGTTATAGTTTCTAGAATGAGAATATCTTTGAGGCGTGTAGGATGTGATATGTATTGCATATCAGGGGGGTGGTGAGGGGTGATTTGCTGATGTATGTGGATAACGATTAGATCTAAGTGTTACTTTCTTATTTGTGCCATTTATCCACAGACTCTGAGCTGTGAATTGAAAACTAGTCGATGTGATTTAAAAAAAAAAATAAGAAAGTTTGCTCACTTTACTCAAGTGCCAGCTTTTTCCATATCCATCAATTAAAGTCACATCAGTTTGATTTTAAACCCAGTCTGTTGTCTGACCAAAGCGGTGTACTGCTTATATCTGAAGATGGGTGTTTGTGTTATTAAGTTAACAGTGCTTATTAGAGTAACGTCTATCAGCGGACGTCAGATGTTCATGTGTCCCCAGATAAAGATGAAGGAATAGTTTGACATTTTGTTTGCTTTCTGGCAGTTGGATAAGTAGATTCTCGCCACTCTCGTATCTTTTTGGTAAATATGAGGCTACAACCAGCAGCCTGTTAGCTTAGCTTAGCATAAAGACTGGAAATGGGTGGGAAGCAGTTTGCCTGGCTCTGTCTGAAGCTCACTAATAAATGTTTATTTGTTAAGCAAAATACGTTGGAAAAAACCCGCCAATTCCATAGAAATGCCAATTTCACCTGGCAACTGGTCAGGCCCAAACCCTAAATGTTGAATAAGCATTTTTACAGTTTTTGTACATATTAAATACAAAAACTTGTTAATTTGTGTGCTCGGAGATGCTGCTAGGCAGACGTTAGTTGAACAGAGCCATGCTAGCTGTACCCCTCTGTTTCCACTCTTTATGCTAAGCTAGCCGGCAGCTAGCAGTAGCCTTTTAAGTCATTTGTTAATGGACAGAAATGAAAGTGGACTCTTCCCTAATGCTCCTCCAGAAGCAAATAAGTATATTATTTTCCAAAATGTTAAACTATTCAAATACAACCCACCCTGTTCTTTTATGACATTAAAAGCTGTGTAAAATTGAAAAGAAATGCACCATTGTCCTTAGTAGCTGAAGAGGGGATTGTGTTTATTTCCGATATTCAGCAGGCAACCATTTCCTTGCTGTGTGTGTAATTCAGCAGTATTAGCAGCTGGAACCTGGAATAGTAACACTTCTACGTGCCTGTGCAGTTCACTCAATCAAAAAGGTGCTTGACTTCATTAAATTTCACATTATGTTGTATTTACCTGAAGTCTCCTCCAGTTTATTCTCTGAACTATACAACTGATATGGAGCTGTTGAATCAACTTCTGTGGTGTTACAAAATGTCGACATTTGATGCATTTACAGTATTGTCTCAAGTACCAAGATCGGTGACTTCTTTGAATCATTGGAGTGGAATGTTTGGCAGTAGTTTTTTTTTTTTTTTTTCTTGGTGCAAGTTGCCATGCGTCACCCACAGTGCCAACATTTAACTTCAAAGAGCAGATGTGAAAAAATGTTGCTGCTGCACAAGTTCAGGCAGTATTTTGATGGCCGCATTTGCACGACTCTCCAAATTTAATATCTTGAGAAAAGAAATGGAAAGTTACTGGTTCAATGACACCCTACCACTTGAATTGATTGTCACATGATCACCACCACGGCACCATCACCAAATAATGCACTGCCCTTTGACTCTACAACCTACTGTTGACATTTTGATTTTATTTATTGTTTTATGTTTTAAGCCAGTAAGGACCAGGGACTTGGTGCCATAATTCTCTTACAATGCTATTGTGTGAAATTATAATCACTTGTTATGGAATAATTTTTATAGTCTTTTTCACACCAGACCTTTTTTTTGTATTTGTACAGTGGCTTGGTGATACTGATATGTTGCCATGAGTTATTGTAACCAATAAAAAGCTTCTAACCAAGAATACAGATCCTCAACCATTTCCTTCTCAAAAATGTCAACTGTATAATGTCTAAAAAACTATGTACAGTATTTTCCCGTTTATAGAAATTAGTTTAAGTTTAATTCAGGAACAAGCCAGAACCGTTTTTAGGAAATGGACACCCACTTTCATAAATGCAAAGCACCTGAAACGAGGACCAAAATGGACAGAAATTGGCTGTGCAGTTGCTACAAATTCCGCTTTTGGTGCTTATTTAAACTTTACGTATATTTTGCTTCTTGGCCGAATAATCATCTCTGGACAAATTACACCGGCTCATTTTGACAGCAAAGCTCATTGTCTTAAATGTTTAGAAAGGGACAACAACTCAAACACATTTGAAAGAATCCGATGGTTGAAGAGTTTGAGTTGAGAGTTACAAGCAGTTCTATGAGCTCATGGACCAAGATTCTTCCTAAAAAAAGCATGTCATTAAACTAAAGCACATAATAGGTTATTGATGTTCTGGACACATTATTCAAATATCTGAAGCAGATTTGTGTGTATACTTGAGGTCAAACGAACAAAGTGCATTTTCTTCCTCATAACAAATTTCTAAACGGTGCATCAATTACATCCATGTTTTCTTGCCAGCAGACGTGGTGGTGCTTGTGCACAATACGAACAAAGCATAGACACAGGGTGCTAATAGTGGTTGTAAACTCCACGGGGTAAAGGTCTTTCAAATAAACAGTCATTTTTTTAGATTGTGGCAGATTTAATACAATCAGGCAAATCTGGAGGTATCTCAACACGCATTCAAGAAAAGAAGAAGACTGTTGCGGACTGGCGTAATTGTCATGTTAAGTCTAAAGGTTATAAATAAAGGATATTATAAAATAAGGTTTTCCAAAGCTTTTGCTCGATACAGTTTGGATAGTTAAAAAATAAACATGAAACAACAGTTTATGAAAGACATGCTTTCCCTTTCTACTCGAATGATTTCTCTCAGTCAACTAACTTTAACTAGGTCCTTCAAATTAAGGAAAAAATGTTCTCGTTATTAAATATATTTATTTTTTGTTGCTAACACAACAGATCATGTGCCCAAAAAGATACATGTACAGTCTTACAGACAAACTTCATTTGCTTCACAAAAGTTAGTCAAAAAAGGCATATTCACAGTTTGAAGCACATTAGTGTCAAAATATGGCACCCGACCGGCAGCCTTCTCGCCGACCGAGATTCTAATACCACCTTGTGGAGGGAGCGTCTCTGCGCATAATGAGTCCACGTTTCTGTTTTACAGGCAGCTTTGTTTGACAGTTGGTTCACTGCAGTTTTTCGAGCACCTGAAACGCCTAATTGGCAGTGGAGGGAGGGAGGGGGGGGGGGGGGCTTCACTCTCTTCGGTCCATTAAGAGTGAAATTACTGATCAATTTCTTTTTCTTGATTGTCTACAAAATGTCCCAAAAAAAAAAAAAAAAAAAAAAGACATGTTGACTATTTACAAATGGCACAAAAAAAAAGAACCAAATCTTCACACTCGAGAAGCTGCAGACGTTTGGTATCCTTGTCTGATAAATGACTAACCTTTCATATTATCAAAACATCTATAGATGTCTTTGAATCGATTCATCTGTCCAGCGCTACTGTCCACACAGAAGCTGTGGTGTAGTTTAGGAGATGAGGACTGGGGCACCGTGAGGCTGAGGAATGATTGGCTCGACAAGAACCAAACTGTGGAGCGCTGAAGAAGAGCAGCTCACTGCTGAGGCTGCAGATACTGGTTTGTGAACACCTCCAACTGTTTCTCCAGGTCTGTCGCTTTATGTCTGCAGAGGAAACGGACACGTTACATTTGGACCAACTTCATCCAAACCACTTGTACAGTCAAATGTAATGTAATTCTCACTGTTAAACTGTTTGCAGTCATATGTATATCAAGACTGAATATCTGACTGTTGTGCCAAATATTTGATGCCCAAACCTTTCAAGAATTAGAAATAGAAAAAAAACTTTTAATGAAATCCCTGTTTAAAGAACTAATTTGCCTTTTTCCACCAATATTTATGTTTGATGTATTGTGACACAACTATGAACACTTTTATACATATCAGTACTCTAATTCAAAGCAAGCTCTAAAAAAAGTACAGTAAAAGCAGTATCAGTAAAAAATAATTTATATTTCCGCTGTGTGTTAAATGTTCTGGTTCTTTTTCCTAAACGCGAGTATAAAAAAAGCTGAAAAACTGCTCAGCCAGTGGCAGCATCATCAGGTCTGCTAACAAATATAATTTTGTACACAGGAGCTGCATCCTGTGACCATTATGTACTGTATGTTTAAATTAAACTGTCAATCTGTGTACTGACTGCAGGATTTGTGCAGCAAGCTTAAGTTTTTAAAAAAACAAACACCATTTTCTTCTTCAGGTCCCCCAGACTAGACCTTCCCAAAAAGTCAACTACTGCCCCCTCCCCCTCCCCCCTTCATGTCGCCCCCAATGAGAGAAGGAGCCGGCACTGACCGCAGGGTCTTGGAGTGGCTCTGGACGGTCTCCAGCTGATCTATGGCGGCTGTCAGTTTGCGGATTTCAGCCTCAAGCTCTCTCTGCGTCTCGTCCACCTGCTGACAGAGCCGCGCAAAGGTCGCCGCCATCTCCCTGGAAACACAGAGGGCACAGAATTGCAGTGCTTATTTATTTAGCCCTGCTATAGAGGGGGAGTGAGGTCTGTGTGTGTTGACAGAAAATTAAGGAATGGTGCAAAGTAGTGGCGTCAACGGTCAGTGAGGTTAACCGCTAACCATAAGACCAGTTACGCATGTTAGTCTATAGGTTCATTTAAAATGGGTGCCGATTTTAACAAATTAGACAGGACGCACCGTGGATAGCGTGCGAGTATTGAACAATGAGTATTGATTCAATACAGAATCGATGAGTAATCTCATCGGCTCTTCTGATCGGCTCTTCCAGACTTAAGAGCGAGCCTCTTGTAACTTGCACTGTAACCGAAACTGACACGTCTGAAACAAAACTAAAACTCTCTAGTGCGGAGAAATGAGCACCTAATGTCAGCATGAACGTTGTTAATGTGCTGAATGTTAAAGACTTAATCCACTGGGCATTATTACAAATGGTTTCAGGGTGGATTTCACATTTATAAAAAAAAAAAAAAAAAAAAGAACTCTTTCATGTACTGCTCTGCTCTAGTTTGTTCTACTATGAAATTACAGAAATGATGCTGTGTCAGGACTTACTGTTGGACCTGGTGGCTGCAGTTCGCACTAGTAAAGCTGACTATGAGCTGCAGCTTCTCTGTTGCGTAGTCCACAAACTGGCGCTTCAGAGAGCGCTCCTTTGCCTTCGTGGTCCAGGTGAGTCTCTCGTACAGGTACAGCAAGCCGTACAGTGAGCCCGACAGAGCTATCAGCCTCCAGCCCACCGTTCTCCACACCTTAGAGAAATTAATAAATAAATACATAAACAAGCAGAAGCTGGGTTATGCCTTATAATTAGACCGGCCTTTCTATTCAGTGCAATAACATGAAACAAAAGTAGTTGCCTGATGTTTATAATCCACTAGTGAAAATAACTAAGTTACTTATTTTGTTGACATAACCTACAGCAGACAGTTTCCTGCAACCTGAAGCTGGCTAGATATTTATGTATAACTGTATATGTTCAGCTACCCCAGATGTTAACATGCAAGACCGATTTTGTAAACAACATACCACTCCTCCAACGATGAGGACACTCATTGAAGTGCGGGAGGTGAGGGATGCCACATTGGTTGCAACGGCTACCATCAAGTCCTCGTGGGTCATGACAGCCGTCTCGTTGTTGGGCGGCGCCGTGATGGACGGGGGTCCTGAGGAGGGCGTGAGGGCCAGCGCTGGTCGAGAGGCCTGAGTAAGGACAGCGGAGTTTTTATAAATCTGACTTTCATAAATGTATATTTTGTGTTTATGTGAACGAAGCGTTATTGATATTAAACATCACAATATGAATCAGAAGTTAGTCCATCGACACAACCAGCTCTGGCTTGTACCTGGAAGTTCTGGTCCACCAGTCGCAGTGCTCTCTGCGCGTTGACAGATCCCAGGAAGCGGTGGACTAACACTGTCCAGCCCAACGAAAACTGGAACTCAATGTTTTCCTGGAAGTCATTGCAAAGTGTGGCGCAGTTTAGGTCGTAACTCAGGTCAAACTTCCTGCTAGGCACCAGCATGTGGACCTGGCTCTGGGCCGAAGAGGGAAGCAGAGGGAGCATGCTCTCTGGAGAGAGAGAGAGAGAGAGAGAGAGAGAAAAAACACATGTATGAGAATACAATAGAAACAGACAGAAATACACAGCAGTCATGGGATCATTAGTGGCTTAGTTTGTATTTAAAACATGCACTGATGCTGACAATATACATCCTCTATTCTTCCAAATAACTACTTTAACAGTTTGTGCAAGTACATTTTACAGCTAATAATAAATATTTGGGTAGAAGGAGGCAGAAAATAGTAACACATGATGACAAAAAAGCAGTTTATCATTGTAGTTTTTAAAGCAAAAAAAAGATTACATTCAATTTGAATATGCTGGTTTTCTTAATCCCTCCTGAGGGGAAAAATAAGTCACACCACAATGTCATAACAGCACCTGAGTCCTTTTCATCAGAGGGCACATTAACACCTCTTCAACGTCACCGAGCACAGCTTGCATGCGTGCCTGTCACAGTGACGCACTTGTAGCATAATGGGGCATGGGATGATGGCATTCAGCGAGGAGGGTAAATTTAGCAGGGGGCTGGGCGCTGCAGACCATAGCCCGAGTGCCCAAAAGGTTTTCACTAAGTTTAGCAACACACTAAATGAGTACAAATCTGGGCTGATGTCATTTTTTATAAAATGATTTCATTCCCTGGTCTTTAACGCAAGGAAAGGTTCAGATAAATGATCTTCAGTATTCTTTCATCTGATTTTGTTTTGGCGTTACTATTGTTTCATTAACTTTAGCCAACCTTTAGGTTCAGCAGAACTATTCACTCCTGATGGGTAAACCTAAGGGCTACAGGCTGAGGCCAAAGCTTGCGCTGAACAGATTTGTTCTCGGTATGTGTCGACAATGCAATATTACTACAAAGGGGATCTCATTATTCTGTCCAGTCATGTTTACACTGTAATTACCCATCATGTATTTCTGAGAGGACTGGACAGAAGCGTTGACGGCATTGGAGCAGCGGAAGGCCAGGTTCTTGCCCATCCCCTCCTCCACGTGATACAGCAGCTCCTGCAAACAGAACAGGAGTCAGTCAGTCATTTCCAAGGAAAGGTGCGGTCACAAATATTGAATCCGTGCCCCTACTTACAGACTTGTAGATCTTGAGGACGTGTGACGAGGGGTGGAAGTCACAGTGGAACTCATCAACGATCACGTGGAGACGGCAGATCTCCTCTCCCATGGCGTAGGATACCTGGATGAAACACATGCAGAGTTATCGGTCGGCTACAGGAGCAGGCAGGACTTACACGTCCTACTCAAAGAACCACCGGCAGCACATCAGATCTCAAGCTGGCGCAATAAACAGCAAATATTGGTCTTTTCTGATGGACATCTACCTGTAAGACCACTTCTGTTCTTGGTTTCAATCAACGTGTTTTTAGTTTTTCGACTCTCAGTATTGAATTTGTTTAAAAACTGCATGGAACTGTTGTATTTGAGGTATGCATGTGAGAGACATTCAGACAAAACAATAATCTACTACTAGATTTGCTGTTTTTATGGTCTTCTAAGAAGATTAATGAAGTTTCACACACACATACATACAAAACCCCAACATTCAAAAGCTCTTCCACCAGTTGTCGTCATTACCTTAGACTCCACGTCCTCGCTGATGGCCTTGATCTTCTTCTTTATTTCATTAATAAGCAAGTTGAGCTGATTCTTTACAAACTCCAGCCGGTCCATCTGATACTCTCTGTCTTCCAGAGCCGCCACTCTGAGGTCCCACCACACCAAACAGGAAACAAAGTCACAAATGCAAACTAGCAGCTGAACACTTTTGCTGTCAAAAAGCAACACAGTAGAAAGTAGCATTTTTTTTTTTTTAGAAAACCCCTGATATTTTACGAGATAATTTATCCCTCTATTATTAAACAAAATGCCATTCAAATCATGTTACCCGAACATATTTACTAAGTTTCATAGAGTAATGTCCAGCAATCCATTCCCACTAAAAGACTGTGTACGTAACAAGATACTCACCTCTTCTCTGCCGCCTCAATGTTGATGGCGTCCATGATGCGCTTGACCTTTTCTGTGATCAGCTTGGCCCTGATAGTGTGCTGCTCAAACTTTGTTTTCACTGCTGACTGCGAGATACACTCCTGCGAGGCCATAACACATGAGTTACTGTGACAGCTATAGGGGCTGCTGCTGGATAGGGCGCATGAACTAGCACGCTATACCGGGGACGAACAGAAGACAAGATAGACACCTGCTGCCTTAACTTAAGAGAAGACAAGAACACAGGTGGGACAATGACAGCAGCAGTGTGCCTATCTTGTGTCCCACAGCCCATTGCAAGGTCACAGTAATGTGCTGGTAAAGCCACAGGGAAAATTATAAAAACACTTTAACTGTATACAATCAAGAATGACAGTGAAAGAAAACAAAAAAAAAATACAGAAACAAAAGTAGGAATATTGTGTCATTTTGGGATAAATGATCATTTGTGATGATTCCCTCTTTAATCCACTGTAGGTCACACAAAACAAGCAGATTATATCTAAAGCGCTATTGACGTTTGTTATTTCACTTATAGTTATAATCCTTATGATTAGCATGAATTCAAAACCTTGAGTCGTCATATGTCGACTCAATGACTCTGAAATTGAGCTCATATTGGTTTTAACCAACATAAGGTTTAGTAGCACACGCTACCAGTCCCAGCTGTGGCGAAATTGGTACAGCTGTCTCTTTGTAAGGCATTGCTAGGCCTATGTGCTGTTATTGTTTGTGTATGTTATTTTATGCATTTGTCTATCTGGACCCTGAATCTGAAATAAAGTTTATCTATCAAAACCATTTTTTTGAGATTTCAATCATTCAATGTGTTTACATTCAGTTATCATCTCTCTATGAAGTAGTTTTAATTGTTAGTGGCGGAGTCCACCATTCCCACATTCCATTCAAATACAAGTGGAATTTACAGGAGGCTGGCATGTAATCCAGTGTGATTTTATCTCATTAACAGGCTCATCGTTTACTGTTCACTCTCTGAATGGTGTATCAGAGCTGCACTCAACTGGCAAAACCCGTGGGGCTCTTATTGTGAAAGAGCCACAGGAAACAATATGTATTTGTTACAGACAGCTGCACACCTTTAACTCCTCAGGAAGGTAACATCCTGCTGATGTGTGGAAAACGACTTGAGGCATGTGCAGCATGAAATCAGATCCCAGTTGCTCTGATTATTGACCAATTTAGTTATTAAAAACAACAGTTTGTACGACAGTTGCTGTTGTATTCCTGACAAAGGAGCTGCTCAACGAGTGCTTGGGACATGTAGTATTAAACTGCACTTTCGCATTATAGATTTAATCCAATGATAATTTCCCCCCAGGATGGACACAATTGAATTCCTGATTGTTATAATGAAAACACAGAAAACTCAACAATCAAAGTTAAAAACAGAACAAAATCAAAGTGGAACGAAAATAAACTGGTGTCCTCGCCTAAGTGAATCTAGACTTCAGCAATGAAGACGCAGGTTGATGGAGAAGGCACAGTGATTGGTCTAGAAGGCACCGGAGCCGCCAGCTTCAGGTCGAATGACTGGTGGCGAAACCTAAACACTCGTTCCAGGTTCGAGTAGTTGACTGCTCAGATTTTTACGGTCAGTAGAAGAACTTTGGTTGCGTCTTGTTTTATTCAATATCTTTCTCCATGCAATAATCTCAAACACATGCGCGTGCGAACACACACATACGCAGGCATTTTCACCAGGCAACTGAATTTCTCAGAATAAAGTACGCTCTGGTTCAGCGTCTGATAAAAGCAGCCACTGCTGGTCTGAATGAATGAAGAAAATAGCCTCACTTGTCAGAATAGTGACTCCCTTTCTCTCCCCAGTTGTAACTCATTCTCACCAGCAGAAGCCAGACAATGTCAAAAAGATTGGCTTAGCAGTTCATGATACACCAACTTAATCAGCATCCGTGCTGTTTTTTGGCTTGACACTGCTTTCCTCTCAGAGGCATAACTGTTGACTTTATGGTAGCACATATACACATATATACATACATACATACATACATACATACATACCAGTGTCCAATTACAAATATGCCCAAATCATTGCTCTATATTCGTCTAAATCTGTCTGTCGGGTTCAGACAAGAAATAGATTATGATCTGAGAAGTGGGAATACAATTATTGAAAGATATTGAGAGGACACACACACACAAACACACATATACATACATACACACACACACACCTCAAACCTCCTCTCAAAGCATTGGAACTCCTTAAGTCTCTCCTGGAAGCCCTCAGCCAGGGCTCCACCTGTTGGATGCAATGATCACAGAAACATTATACATCAGGTATATAATAAATACATAACTGTTTATTGATTTATTATTTGATTTGGATCATTTTTATTATTGTAATCACTGTTTTCATTATTGCTGGTCATTTGCAACGTGAATGGAGTTTGGTGATATCCAACTATTTCCCTTGTAAAAAATAAAATAAACAAAAAGGTTCCAAAACAAGATCCTGGTGGTGACTGATATCAAACATAAGGATATGCACAGTTTCTCCATCCTCCACGAATACAGCATCCGCTGAAATGCGAAGCCTCACCTCCTTCAGGCATGCCCTGAGCACGTTGCATGCGGGAGTTGAGCACCTCTTTGGCGGAGACGAAGAAAATGCGGTTGGGTGCCTGATCGCGGTCCACAACCTTCAGCTCCTCCACCAGGAAGTTCACACAACGGTCTGTGTGCTGCTTCCTCACCTGGAAAAAAAAATAACATAAATTTAATTTGTTCAACAAAACAAAAACAAAAAAATCAATTTTCCAAATGTTTCTGATTCTGACATGACACTGAAACAAACGGTTGACTCACGTCCTCCATGTACTCTGGTTCGTTTGCTGAGGCATCCCAGCGGTTGTTGAGGATGAAGATGTTGGGCTTTGACAGACGTTCGTTCACTTTGTGGAAAAAGTGCTTTTCCTAGATGGCAGAAGGGAGAAGGGAGAGGGGTAAGGGAGGACGAGTTGCTCAAATCAGTGAAAACTTAAGGGTTGAATCAGTTAAAATGAATATTACGCCATGAGTACTATATGTATCCAAAACACTACCCACGGAAATGACAACCCAACAGTTCATGGAATGGGACAAACTCATACAAAGGGTAAACAGTATATGGAATGAGAGAAAACCAAACTATAAAACCTTACAAGATGGAAGAGCGGGGCTCTCTTGCTTACTAGAGTAGTAGTATGCATCCCAGTGAAGGCCGGGCAAAGCCACTTATTACTTTGCACACCACAACAGCAAAGTAGTTTGGCAACATCCCAGCCACAATTCAGGCTCTCAATGACGCTCACGCGTCGCCGCTATTTAACTATCTGACATTATTTACATAAAGCCTGGGATTTATTTCCCTGAGATAGCACAGAGGAGAATGTGTGCTTGCTTTCCCTTTCAGAGCTATCCGGCAGGGTTAAGCTCTGTGATTGACTGTGTGCAGCATCACATTGCATGAATGCCTGAGCAGACAGAAACAAGAGTGCGGCCTGTGCGGCTGGACACAAACATGGGCAGCCACATTCTCCACTCTGTAGTCCGTTCAGCAGAGAAAAACAACCACGTTGGCCCTTTAAGTACACATAAGGGACTGACATAACGGAAAACTTGACCAAGAGGTCAAATTACTGTACTCTCATTACCTTGAGTGGACACAGAAAGACATTTAAGGAAACAAAAATTGAAATGTCCACTCATAGGTTTAACGATGTCCAAACTATCCATACACTTCAAAGCGTTCAAAGACAACCGACATAAAATGGGTGTAGTAATAAATATTATCTGCAAGACAGTGACAGAGTTCACAGTTAATAAACTACATCAGTCCTTTGCTCAATCGTTGAATGAGTAGATTGATAAGGCCTTCTTACCGTGTTCATAAGTGTGGATTCAGAGTTGGCCACCAGCACAAAGACATCAGCATCCAGGCAAAATTTATCAATCCAGCTGTCCAGTTCTGATGTGACATCTGTCCCTGGGCTAAGAGAGCGGAAGAGAGGTCAAATGCATGACATCTGCAAAATATGTGAAGTAATATGTCCATTTGAGCATGATTTGTTTCCCCACACACCTTACTGACTTTATCTGTGTGAATCCAACTCTTTAATGTCCTTGATTCTGTCAGATTGATATTTATGAATTTCCAGATCTGATTAACGGACGGCGTTACCTGTCCACAAGCACCAGGTCGTCTCGAAGCAGAGCGCACTTGGTCTTCGGCCAAAACACACGGACGAGACAGCCGGCGTCCAGACTCTCGTCCATGTGGAGCGCGTGAGCCAGCTGGTTTACAGTCTGCAGAGGAGATGTAAATAGACCGACGTTATGGTTGTTGATGTAATAACCTCTATTTAATGTATATTCTATTTGTGCTACGTTATGAATAGAAGAATACCATTATTACGATAACATGGGAGAAAATCTGAGCACAAGGTTGTTTCTTTAATCACTTTTTAAAGTTTGTTCTTTTAGGTTTTACAGCGTTGAAAGGAAGACTTCCGTACTTCTAAGATGTATGGTGCATTATCCAGTTAATTGTTTGATTTTTTAAACAGGAAGGTATAATTTACAGTATAGACTGCTTAATATTTTGAACTCACGTCCACTTCATTCAGTTCACGGAGGCTGAGGCTTTCATTTCAGACATCTGACACCACCGTAAATATTCTGCATACCTGTGACTATATTCAATAAACTACTGCTTATCAAACTATTTAATACCACTTGTAGAAGTATTAGGACAAAGATGTGAGCTTGGCTCAGCTATCAGGGTGAAGAATAAACCATAAATCAGATTGTATCCTCAACCGTGTGACCCGTTTGAGTACAACAACTCTTCCACAACAACAGTAAAAGACCGAATCAACCATATATATTATATATATATACCAGATTCTGGTTTGTGCAAAACCCATAGACTGTATATGAGTAACACCGTGTTCCCAATTACTCTAGCAAAAGTACAAAGAGGTTCTCAATATCTGAGAACAACAAAAATGTGTAAATATACAATACGAATGGGAGACAGACCAGTGCTCATAAAAGACCAAATTAAAACCCAAGCAAAACGTTTATTAAAATAACATTTACCTTGATGCTCTTCTCCTCATCAGAGCCCTCCGTCTTGAGGTAGGCCTTGTCCTCATCAGTGCCCTCGACACTAAGAAAGCAGTTGGTGGTGTGGCCAATCCCGCTGGGCAGCACGCGATCCCTCAGCATGGCGTTGACCACTGTGCTTTTACCATTACTGGTCCTAAAAATCAAAACAAAACAGTCAGTGACTGCATTTGGTCAAATTACTCTCAAAATTAAAGTAAAGTCCTCGGGTGTTACATCCTACTTCACTTCAAATGTTAATGCGAAACAAATATGCGGCTACTAATGGGTAGGACAGAATGGATAACCTGGCTTCACCTGTGACAGGTAGTGTTTTCTATGTAAGGTGGAATTGTCATTGTTGACTCAAGCAGAAGAAATATTTTTTCCGGTGACACACCCTTCCTATTGTGTTTTGGATTTGAAGGTGTTCTTTTGCATCAGCGCAGAGCACAACACGGTTCAACTAACATCCAGTTTGAACTCGATTATGAAAGATGGGTTTTAACAGCAGGAGAAATGTCACTTCAAGGATAATCGTCCAAGTTAAAGAACATAAGAGTGAAAGTGAAAGCAAAACCGATACCCGATTGATTTGGGAAAGGACTAGTTTAACTTGCACAGTCTTTAACGTCACAATAGTTATGTCTGTAAAGGTTGCTTTTATGGAAAAGACTGCTTGAGAATCAAATCAGAAAAGCGTTAAAGACAATATTCTTTACAAATAAAAACTCAGTTGTGTGTGTAGCTGTTTTTTACCTGCCAAAAAAGGCCACTTTCATGTGTCTGCGCGCCAGCACCTCCTTAATGACGGCCAGTTTGTCAGCATATGCCTGAATCTCCACCTTTTGATCTTGACTCGCAATGTTCTCCAGAGCTTTATTCCCACAGGTCTCTGTCCAAAACACAGACGAACAACACCTACTTCATATAACATTCAGACAGAGCTGACCGACAGATGATAAAGAATTGTGTTAATGTGATAACTCCGAGCATAAAATGACTTTTCTGTCAGTAGTATCCTGTTCACTATGTATACTATAGCTGTCTGACAAACGGGGAACAGATAAGAAAACGCTCTCACCTTCCACAAACTCTGAAGTCTCTTTCACATAGTTCAGCAGTTGTTCAAACACATCGCTTATCTTCTTCTTGGCCACAACAAAGCGCTTCAGAGGGGAGAACTCCCCGTGAGCTGAATCTGACCGTCTAAGGTGAGGAGCTGCAGCCATGGTGTTCAATCTGAACAACGAGAGGGCAAACGCAGTCATATCAGTGGACATGAACAATGTTGGTCAACAACGTGACTGTTAGTACAGAGGTTAGATCATACTGCACGGTTTTACGTCTGTGAGAATATTGCAGTTGTTACATTACACGTTAAGTTAACTTGTTACACTGCAGGTTAAATAACACATGTTAACTAAGTTACGCAACGGTTAGTGAAGCCACTGTAGAAGTTAACAGTGATCTCGTGCAACTTCGATACACATGACACATGAGAATAACATGCAATGACTATATATGTTTGGCTTTTCTTAACTACTTGTGATTCATATTTTTTAATTATTGTGATAAACGAGCGGTCGCGTGCTGGGTGCCAAGCAAGCTAACGTGAACGGATTATGCTAGCTAACGTTACAAGCGGCAATGCGGTGGTAGATTAGCACGGGTAGATAATTGTATTATTTCCTTACCACAGTCTTAACACAGCCAGTGTCCTCTTGACATAACACAACAGTGTGGATACACAGCGACAGTACAGATAATCCCTTTCCCTTGGTGAAAGATTACTTGCTGTCAGCCTGGCTAACCTTCTGTTAGTATGCGGTAATGACAAACTAGTCGGAGAAGGAGACAGGCTACCGGAAACAACCTTCAAAATAAAAGCACCGTTGACTCGAGTTGCTGCATAACAGACCTAAGGTTATGTCACCAAGGCTAGCTAACCTTAGCCAGTTGGGCTAACTCAGAGCCCTTTATTAAAGAGATATTAGACGGCTCTGTGTTAACTCTATATATTGTTTGTGGTTGTTCATTTGACATATTTCTAAACATTGTTTTACACATAATTTGTTCAATAAATTCTGCCCTTTAACTGACATACTGTATTTTTTTTGTCCTTCCTGCTATGTTGAAATGTACTGCCTGGAGCTTGACGCAGCTTCCAACCGCAGTAGCCAATCAACGTGCAGAGCATGCGCCTGACCCCTGAGATCCATTTTACTGTAGCAAGACTCAAGTACGCTGAGGGTATAATTAATTATACACAGGACATGGAGCATGGAAAGTAGTGTTAGAAACGATAGTTTATATCGCAATAACACATATAATAGCTAATAATCATTTTTTTTAAAGCAGAAGAAAAGAAAGGAAAGAGAGAGTTTCCTACAACATTTTACATGTTTTTCACTTGGAATATCTGATTTTCAGCCCCAGTATCAACACATATCACCAAACTGGTACACTGGTCCATCCACACTACAGTATACTGTCCCCCTATCCATCTATCTGTTTACCCATTTGCCACATTATAAGTAGCAGAAGGGAATATATGAACATACACATGGGCTGCTACCCTATGTCACCTCTACAAGCAAAGAGTTCAGACAGCATTTAAATTAAATCAGTCATGCATGTGTTGCCTTTGCAAATCCACAATAACTCTTGTTCAGGAGAGTAGTGTGTCTACTTGTGAATGGGACAATGGTAGGGAGGAAACGCCTCCCTGTGTGTAAATGTGTGTGTGTGTGTGTGTGTGTGTGTGTGTGTGTGTGTGTGTGTATATGTGTGGGTGACCTTAGCAACTGTGGCAAACTGTCATCAGTCAGAGCAACGGACACTGAAATACCTCCACCAGGACCTCCAGCGTCTAGTTGGCTTTTGGATATTTGACAACCTTTTATCATCTTGGAAACTTTGAATCGATCTCTTTCTGTTTTTCTTTTCCTGCTGGATTTTTCTTTTTTTGGTTATGTGCGGATTGATGATGGAAAATTAAAATGGTGAGGAAGAAAAAGCTGCTGGTGTTTGAGTAAGTATGCACTTGTTCTGAAATGACTTGTTTGAAATGTTTGAGCCTCTGGCATGAATTCAAAACTATCACTTTCATAAAGCTATAATATCACAACAAGGGACTTTAAAGGTATCTATGGCACTTCATTTTCATACTTTGTTTCATATCTCTACAGAATGTTTTGTAAAGTAGCAATAGATGTTAGATTAATAATGTGTCACAAAATAATTACATAACATCCGTACAGAGATGTATTGTATGTTTTCATGTTAGAGTTTTAGTTTGACAAAATAACATGAGGCGTTTTTTTCAGCGAGGCTCTAGCGTCATACATTAATGATGAGATGGATATACTAATTGCTCTCCTGGGCAGATATTGATTTCATCGCATCCATGTGTAATTTTGATACAAACTAAACTCTTCTCTCTGTGGAATTAACAGACGATCTAGATATTTTACTTATTATCTTAGGTGATCCAAGGTAATCATTAAAAAACAAACAACCAAACTACAAGAACTTTGACATCAGGGTAATATATGTGATACAAAATCAAATTGTTATGGGTGATTATTTCTATGTGAAATAACCTGGGCTCAAACTATTTTTCTGTCAGCTTCCCCATTGTGTCGATGCTATTGTGGCAGCACAGGTGACAAAAGAGCTTATGTATGTATTGTCTGTGTGTGTGTGTGTGTGTGTGTGTGTGTGTGTGTATGTATAGGTGCTATTTGCATTGTACCATCCTATCTAGCATTCTCTTTCTCTATGAATTTACTTATTTTGCATTTGAACTCTTGAGTGATCTGTTGTTGGGTTAAAAATAGTTTTGTTGTTTGTTTCTACCTGTGTTTGTTTTCTTTTCCTTATAGAATTTGTGGAAGCATGATGTGGGATGGATAAACAACAACAAAACACGACTGTAAGTTGACTGAAGGAATGTTATTATGACCACAAAATTAACAGTGTGTGTTTTTATGATGGCCGAATGTGGATATGTAATACTGAAGTATGAAGGAACTTTGCTGACTTTTGAAAAGGGAAACGTATGCCTGAGTCATTTCAAGAGTCTATTTACTGCTATAGATTCCCTAAATTATAACATTTAAATAATTTGTCCTGTCAAACTGCATCAGATGTTTCTCGATTATGATATGAAATCATTTCCAAATTGCCAAATGTTCCATTTTCTAAACAGCCTCATTTTAAGACCAAATTTATTTTTCAAAATAGACACTTAAAGACAACTGAAAGCTGTGCATAACTTTCATGACAGCAGTCAATATGTGAGATAGTTGCTGCATCATACTGTGTCTCCCTGTGTCTCTCATTTTGGGTGCAGATGGCCTCTAATGACCCCGACCTTCCTGACCCCTCTGGTGACCCTCAGCCTGGTGACCTCATTGAGATCTTTAGACCGGCCTATCAGCACTGGGCTCTCTACCTGGGAGATGGTTACATCATCAACTTAACTCCTGTTGGTCAGTAGGAAACGAGATGTGTGTAACCGCTGAGCTAACTTTAAGAAAAAAAAGTGATAACTCAGACATCATTGGTTAATTTTGACACACTTTAACTGGATGACGCTAAAATCGTAAGAAAAAGGTAATGTTTTGAATGACGGACTTTTAATGTATTTTTACATTGTGGTATTATGACTTTTATGTAAATACGTCTTCCACCAATTTGACTTGGTTTAGAGTCCCTGGAAACGTGGGTATTGTTGTAGAATATGACATATTTGTGACTAATCAAGCAACAAACAAAGTTGAAGTTTAAAAGCATCCTTAGTTATGATGTAAGAGTTTTACACTGAAACACAACATTAGCCTGACAGCTGTCTCTATATTCGGAATAGTTCAGCTTTGCATAGGACTTGTGGCTGTTTTTGTACTAAGTGGATCTCCCCTGTCTTTCTCACTACAGTTTTGATGAAATGATACACAATGATGATACATTTTGTCTCTGTGACCAGGATCCTAAATGCCTTTGGGATCAGTTTGTGTTGTGCATCCCTACATCAGCTGTCTTTCTATTTTTCCTAAATCTGCAAGATTCCAGGTCCAAGATCCTACAATGTTCACTTCTGGTAGATACATGTGATCACACTGAGGCTCTGCTCCTCCTCTCCAGATGAGAACCAGGCAGCCGCCATGTCCAGTGTGAAGTCCGTCTTTAGCAGGAAGGCAGTGGTGCGCATGCAGCTGCTGAAGGAGGTGGTGGGCAGCGACTCGTACCGTGTCAACAACAAGTACGACCACAACCACACACCCCTGCCCGTCTCTGAAATCATTCAGCGAGCGCAAGTCCTCATTGGCCAGGAGGTGTCCTATGACCTGCTGGGGAGCAACTGCGAGCACTTTGTTACCCTTCTGCGCTACGGGGAAGGGGTATCCGAGCAGGTCTCTCACTGTTTGTTTTGTTTCCATCTTTTGTGCCATCAGGGTAAAATACTAGCTTTTCACTCAACATAGGCTGCCACAGTGACTGGTGACATGTCACCACAGTCATAGTTCCACTTGTATTTATATATCTTTTAAAGAGAACAGGGCATTTAAAAGACTAAAGATTTCTTTCAAGTAAACATTACCATAAAATAATTTACTTTATAATGACCTGTGCTACTTTCTTAACTCCAGACTATTTCTATGTGTATATTTCAATGCTGTGATTGTGGATGCCAGATTGTGTAATATAAAGGGACTATTTTACTTTTACTTTCACCTGGAGTAGATTCCTTCCATTTTAGTACTACCCATAGGTTTGGTAAACCTAGATAAACGCTCACCTCAGTGAACCAATCAGTGAGCCTGTCTGGACTAGGTGGATTTAGGAACAGGTTTGGTATTGTTAAAGTTAGTGCTACAGTCTGGGTGGATATTAAAAGAATACTCCACCTAAAATGAATGTTTTCAATGTCACTCACCCCCACAACCTTGAAAAGTATTCTTCATAGAGCAGCTGTGGTGAGGCTGAATTAATTAAATTATATTAATTAAAGTTTCCAATCGTTTCGTGACCAGATTTTAGGTGGAAACATTATCAAAACATTTATATAAACCTCTCAAAAATATTTGCTGTTCATTCCTGAGTATGTTGCAAACAACATGTTCAACATAAGCACAGTCCTTGTTATTAAATAAATTTAAGACCACGTCCTCTTGTCGTCCTTGTCTCCTCAGGCTACACGGGCTATCGGGGCCATCAGTTTGGTGACGGCGGCAGCCAGTGCCTTCTCTGTCCTGGGACTGATCAACACGAGATCCAGAAACAGGCCTTTCTGACAGCTGTGTGCTTCACTGATGGGTGTTGTCTCCCAACATTCATGCGGCTGTGATTGAAAATAAATAAAATCTAAATAAATATTTAACAAAAATGCAAATGATTGTCTTACTTTTTCAGAAGCTGGCCTCATATAGTTAACACCATTTGATTTAAATGGTGTTTGTTGATCAAATATTAATAAGTTGAAGCTTGGAATGTGAAATTTGTGAAAGTGATTTTTCACAGAAGAGATCACCAAAAAATCCAATTCTATTCACCATCACTATTATATAGGGGGGCTAGTTGAAGTCTCACATCTAGTCTATCTAAAAACATATATATATATATATATATATATATATATATATATATATATAATTAAAATGTCTGCATGGCTAGATACCACTGGGTAAGACAAAGTAGGCCAGTGTTGTTTTTGTGATTTAGATGAAGTTGCCCTTAACTGCATCATCGTGCATCATTTAGCGCTTTCTTAACTGTTGTTACTGGTGGGTGGTTTAAATCCTGCAATGAATCATATTTTTTAGGACTTTACATGTTTGGAATGGAAAAACTGAATCAGAAAAGTCGTAGCATTCAGTGATGTGTGGTGGACTACAAAGTACAACAAAAAAAAAAGTGGAAAGCTTCTCTAAATGACATGATTGAACTGAAGCACAGTGGGCCTACTTAGTAACTGCATTTGACTTCTAACCATTTGATTTCGTCTGTTTATTTATTATACGGCTCTGCTCTGCGGTACAGACAGCAGGTGTCGCAACGTCCCGTAAACCACAGGGAAACTAATCAGAAGAAGAAGAAGAAACAACGTCACGTGCTGTGTGACGTTGAATGTATGCGTCGAGAAATTCGCACGTGTTGTTTTCGTGGACGTCTGACTCAAGTGTGATTTTTCCGTTCCAGAGTATAGCGTAAAAAAACCCACATCGATAAAGATGGGGAAGAAACTCAAAGTAGGGAAAACCAGAAAGGATAAATTTTACCATTTGGCTAAAGAAACAGGTAGAGTACCACTCTTTTAAAAGATAGCACTCTTGAGACAGTTAAGGAGTAGATGTTAGCATTATTAGCAGGATTGCTAGCTAACTCACCAACGCTACATAACGATGTGCCGGATGAGGATTTCAGAGAGTCAGCTGTCTGGTAACATTATGTTTTGTCTTTTTCAGGTTATCGCTCTCGTTCTTCCTTCAAGCTCATCCAGCTCAACCGTAAATTTCAGTTTCTACAGAAAGCCAGAGCTTTGGTCGACCTGTGTGCTGCTCCTGGTGGATGGTGAGCTTCCGACTAGATGCTAATTAAAGTTAAATGTACATGAGCAACACGCCCAGGGCTAAAATCAGGGGTGCCCAAACTGTAGAGACACAGAGGGCAAAACATGTAATCTAATTTGAGTACACTGGTTCATTCTATCCCGTCAAACATGTATAGACAGTCAGAAAATCTTCTGTAATCTATCTCATCTGTAATTAACTTTTTTGTCTATATATATAATTAGTAGTTCAACCCTCCAATATTAATTTAGAGTTGTTCATTGTGTAATTACAAATGTCCTCTTTGGACAGTTGGACTAAGCTCAACAAGAGCCCTCCAACAGTGATGCAAATATCTTTGAAGATACAGCATGCTGCTGTAAAATGGAAAAAGATGTTCCCATTTTAGGATTTCCCCGAGGAATGTAATGAGTGTTGAGGTCCTGTGTATTTGTATGCTCTGCCCAGGAAGACAGATGAGTGAAAAGTATGTTGTGGAATATAATTAGCACAAGAACAAACTCATCAATCAAAATCATCTTGCAGGTTGCAGGTGGCGACCAAGTTTATGCCTGTGTCAAGTCTCATTATTGGTGAGTGTGATGTCATCAATATGATTAACTGGTAATACATTGTTCTGCCTCTGCTTAGGCTTTGTGATTCAGTTGTTTCGACAAGTCTTTAATTGTTGGTTTGGAAAAGCCCTTTTTTAGGTTGCAATCTAATGTTGATTACCGGGATACTGTGAGAAAATGTTTTTAAAAAAAAAAAGTATTTCTTCCTGTCAGGTGTTGACCTGGTGCCCATCAGGCCCATCCCCAATGTGGTGGCACTGCAAGAAGACATCACCAGTGACAAATGCAGACAGGTAAGGCTGCTGCTGCAGAGTTCAGCACGTCACTGACGTCAGTCCTGGCTGTGGTTCTGCATACACTATTATACAAGGAATAACTAATGTAGTCCTGCAAACAAATGTGACGCCGGAGACACAGATGGTTCCGTCATGGCAGTAAACACCTGCACTGTTTACCAAGCATCACATTTCTCTAAAATCACAAACTGTAGGAAAGCTTCAATGTGGATTTGTTAAGATACTTTCTATCTCATATACAGGCCATAAAAAAGGAACTGCAGACATGGAAGGTCGACGTTGTGTTAAATGACGGAGCCCCGAATGTGGGAGCCAACTGGCAACATGATGCCTTCACACAAGGTAGGTGCCACAAGTTTCAAGAAATTTCCAGTCACACACCTTCATAAGTCAGGATTTACAGATACAGTTATAGTTCTGATTCAAATACACATACCACACATACCTAATGTCTCAAAATCTCCCCTTTTTTCCTTACTCCACCCTCAGCTCATTTGACCCTCATGGCCATGAAGTTGGCCTGTGAGTTTCTGACCAAAGGGGGCACTTTCGTCACCAAGGTCTTCCGCTCCAAAGACTATCAGCCACTGCTCTGGATCTTCCAGCAGTTCTTCAAGAAGGTGCAGGCCACCAAGCCGCAGGCGTCTAGGAACGAATCCGCCGAGATCTTTGTCGTCTGTCAGGGTCAGTGGCAGCTAGAAAGAAGAAATTCTTCTACACTTCCACAGTAACATCTGAACTAAATTAAATGTATCTTTTCCTTACCAGGTTTTCTCGCCCCAGACAAAGTCGACAGTAGGTTTTTTGACCCCAAACATGCGTTCAAAGAGGTGGAGGTGCAGGCCAAAACTGTGAAGGAGCTGATTCCTGTCAAGAAGCCAAAGGCATGTACCCTGTATGAGATGGTGGAGTAATGGATGATCATCAACAGATCATTTCAATCAACTTGTTAAGAACAACAAGACTGATTTTCCCATGATTTCCTGTAGTGTCCCGAATAGCTGTTTACATATTACTAGCCATATTGCATTCTTTACTATCTAAGCTGCTGCTCTTTTGTTACAGGCGGAGGGATACAAAGATGGTGATCTCACACTCTACTACACTTTCACAGTGACGTCCTTTCTGAAAGCAGACAATGCCATAGACTTCCTGGACAAAGCCAGTGAGGTGAGATATCTGTATTTCTTTAACTTGTCAATGAGTGATGATCCACACCTTTTCTGCCATTTCATAGAAAATCTTGTTTTATATACTGTAAATTGCAGCTGTATGGGAAGGATGTTGAGGGAAGTGAAAGATATACGATTAATTATCCTGGACTCGTTATTTGGATTTACAGTCCACAGAATGCAATGTTCAATGACTGAGAAGAGACGGGATATATCAAGCTAAGTAATAGCGCTCCTGTTTTTTTAATTCTCCCTCTGTCTTCTTCACTCAGATCACCTTTGACAACCCAGACCTGGAGTGTCACCCAGCCACCAGTGATGAGATAAAGGAGTGTTGTCGTGACATCAAAGTCTTGGGCCGCAAAGAGCTCCGGTAAGTCAGTTTTTTAGTGCTGTTTTTTTTTTTTTTTTTTTTTTTTTTCTCCAAGAAATAAAAGAGATGAGTAAAAATGAGTCAATCATGCATGTGTTCTTTTTTCCTCCATCCTCACACCTGCAGCATGCTGCTGACCTGGAGGTCCAAGCTGAGGAAGTTCCTGGCCAAAAAACTGAAGGGGGAGGCCGAACTGCGTGACCCAGAGATCAAGTAAAGTCTTTGCAGCATATTTACAAAAAGCCAATGTAATAATTTCACATCTTTGCTAGAATGTGTCATGTCAGATTAATAAAACAAATCCTATTTGCTTTGTTTTTAGCTTAAGTTCTGATGAAGAAAAGGAGGATTTAGAGGAAGAACCAGACAAAAAGAAAAAGAAGGCGGGAGAAGAAGAGTCAGATGACGAGGAAGAGATGGAGAAGAAACTGGCAGAACTGAAAGCTGAGGAGGTGGCTGAGCTCAAACGGTACGACACGAAGCTGTTCAGGATTACCATTTTGTTTCTATAAGGATTTCATTTTCTCTGCGACTATCTGTTGCAGTACTAACAGAATCACAGGCTGGTTTGTGAAGAAAAAGATTCCGAGCTATTACTGAATGAACCTGCAGCCCTTTAATAGACTTCTTGTCATCTTGTTAACCTCTCCCGTTTGATTTGGTTTTAGTGGAAAAATAAGAAACTGGAACATGCGATTGTTAAGATTTCTTTAGAAAACAGAGTTTGTATAACTGTCATGCTCCAACAGGAAGAAGAAGAAGCTGCTGAAGGAGCGGAGGAAGCTGAGGGAGAGGGTTGAGCTGAAGATGGACCTGCCTGGCGTCTCCATAGCAGATTCCCACGACTCATCCATGTTCTCCCTCAGCGGCATAAAGAAGAAAACGGTGAAGACAACACAGACAAGCACAATAATGCAAACCTCCCCCTTGGGTTGTGTTGGCAAAATCTTTTTATGTAATCTTGATTGTGTTTGGTGATTTACGTTGGCATCAGATTGCAGTTTTGGTGCAGATATTGTCGGCCCATCTCTAATGTCTCCTGCCAAAAGATTTTAGTGTTTGCGGAGACAAGCAAATAATGATTCAGTCCCCATAACCTATTGTCCCCAATGCTAATTTGATGCTACTTGCTACTTTCTCTCCATCAGGCCCTGGCTGATTTATCCAAAGGGGACATGCAGCTGGCAGAGGGCCTGGTAGATGAAGGTGACGACCTCCACCTGTCGGACGAAGAGGATGACGAGGCGGATAAAATGTCCCTGGCCTCTGATTTAGATGATGACGAACTGGAAGAGGTGGAGCATAGACAGAAAGAGCTGGAGATGAAGGCTCAAAAGAAGAAGTAAGTGAAGTAATTTAGCATGAAAGTCAGTCGATGTTTTGGAAATAATGTCCTGCTCTCACAGTAAAAAGACAAAGGGCATACTATCAATAATGAATTGTTGTCTTATTTCGTTTTTGCTTATTTGTGTCTGTGGTTTTTTTTCAGAGTAAAGTTCGTTAAAGAAGAGGAGGAAGATGAAGGGCAGGATAGTGGCTTGCTGGTGGAACTGGAGGGAAAGGATGAGAAGAAGGAACGAGAGACCAACCTGTGGTTCAGCAAGGTTCGTCCATTTGTGCTCCCCTAATGTAACGTACGTATACAACGTAATATAGTGTAGAATGTTCATTGTATCATGTTCTGCACCTGCAAATGAGTTAATATCTCTTTGTGATCTGTGACCGTTGACGCTGCCATCCTATTGCTTTGTAGGGCATATTCTCTGAGATCGGCCTGGAAGGAGATGCAGAGAGTGAACTCCAACAGACTGAGTTTCTTCAGAACAAAAAAAACAGTAATAGCCTCCCCTGTTTCTCAGTCATTTATTCACACATGGTCGTCAGCATATGGTCATAAATCGAGTATAGAACATCAGTAGCTCTCTTAAATCTGGGACTGACAAAATAATGACAGTTTTGATCTATTTTTGAAAAAGGTAAAAAGAGGAAAGCTGAGGAGGAGGAGGAGGAGGAGGAGGTAAAGCAGGAAGAGAAGGATGCTGCGCCAGAGGAGGAAAAGGCACCTTCAAAGAAAGCTGAGGAGGAAAGTGGCAGCGACTCCGATGACAGCAGCGATGATGAGAAGTAAAACGTCATTTACTGTGTTTTTACTATTGTCAACTAAACAAATATACAAATAAATAATGAAGTATGTTGCTGCTTGTTCCAGGGAGATTACCAAGATGAAGCAGGCCAGTGAAGGGGCTGGTGGGATGCCAAGAGAGACCAATGACCGTGACTTCCAGGTTGTTCCTGTAGAAAGCACCAGTGAGTATATGAAACATTAATATTTCAGGTGTTAAGCTGGCGATCTCCAACTTACAAACATTCTAAATTTTGGAAAGTGACACATTCAAAACAAGGTTACATAAGTAACCAAGATGAATGAATACATGTATAATAAATGCAGCCAGTAACAGTTGTCCAGCTTCATGTTTTTGTGTAACTTTGTGGTTTCTGTGCTCTTCAGGTAAGAGAGCCAGGATCCTGAATGCAGAGGGTCTGGCCCTGGGCTGTCAGATTGCCACGTCTAAGAAGAGAACCAGGGACCTGATGGACGGCTCCTTTCACAGGTGTGTGTTTCAGTGTGGCACATCCATAAATGAGTGTGCTGGGGTCTTTATTAAAGTCAAGTGCCAAAGAAACGTAGAGAAGACAATAAGAGAAATTTAGAACAACACCAGACTTCTTTAAAAATAATGTGATTCTCCTTACTAGTAAAATCTGTGACCAGGTGCCACATGCATTAACAACACAGTGTTTGTATCAGCCTTCAATTTACACACATTATCTGATTTTATGATTGTATGCTCCTGCAGGTTTGCTAGCTCCGAGGAGCAGTGGGAGGTCCCGGAGTGGTTCCTGACTGACGAACAGAAACACCGGAAGAGGCCGGTGCCAGTCACCAAGGAGATGGTGGAGGAGTACAAACAGAAATGGAAGGAGATCGATGCCAGACCCATCAAACGAGTTGCTGAGGCCAAGGCCAGGAAGAAGAGGAAGGTAAGATCAGTGAAAAGTACAATGATGCAGCAGTGGATGAAAAAAGTTGAAGCTGCCAAAAAAAGATGAGACATAAAGCTAGATCATGATTGAAATCATTACAGGGCCTGGATCAGTTTCAAGATGGAAAAAACACCCATAACCTTTTTTACGTTATGGAAACTTCAGGCAAATTATTTCTGTAGATCTTAATTTGTTAGTTTCTCCGTGACGTTTCCAGATGCTGAAGAAGATGGATCAGGCCAAGAAGAAAGCAGAAGCAGTGGTCGACACAGTGGACATCTCTGAGAAGGAGAAAAATGCTCAGCTGAGGAGGTATGGCATCACATGTGAAGGGTTGGAGCTGCACCTCAAAAGAAAATGACTCCATGAAACTAAATGCATTGCGTCAGACAATTGTCATTTCAATCATTTTGTCTCCCTTTTTCCCCATTCTGTTAGTATCTACAAGAAAGCAGGCCTGGGGAAGGAGAAGAGAGAAGTGACATATGTTGTGACCAAGAAGGGAGCGGGCAGGAAGGTGAGGCGGCCCGCCGGCGTCAAGGGAGCCTTTAAAGTGGTGGACGGTCGCATGAAGAAAGACATGCGGGGGATGCAGAGGAAAGAGCAACGCGCTAAAGGGGGCAAAGGAAAAGGAGGACCGGCAAAGGGTGGCAGAGGAGGGATGAAGGGCAGTAAAGGGCGAAAAGGAAAATAAATTTAAAGCCGTAGTGCTCTCACAGTCTTGCCTTTCTCACTATTAAACACTGCCTGGCCTCATGTTGCAGGTCAGCATTTATGGAGCTTCGTGAGCTACGATGCCTCCCACAGGCTCCTCTATCGTGTACAGAGGCTAAAATGACTTGTCATTCACATGATGCCCTCCTTTTAGCATTTTTTGCTGAGGTTCCTGAAGCTCCTTGAGATATGTTCTGTGGTATTTAAAGGCTGGTGTTCTGGCATGTCTTTCTAAAGATGTAGATCATTTGTCTTGAACTCTGTGAACAAAGTGGTTTCACTGAACAGCTCAACTGTAAATGGCAGAATCTCAAGTAAAACCTAGTAAACAGGTGAATAAATGTTGCTATTAATGTAAATATTCTATACACATTTTTGCAATAAAAATTGTCGGATGTTTCATTCAGCGTTTCCTGTGATTTAAGAAAACAATACAGTTTACTTTTTCATTACTTCAATTTTTGGAAAGATTTTAATAATTCATAATGCTTTGTGCTGGTAGTGGCTCATCAGGATGAGCTAAACAATTATAAACTATAGAAGTTGCATTAGTCATTTTCTATCTGGAAAAGAGGACAGTATGAGACTCTTGTGCTTGGGAGCTCCCAGGTGTGATCAAGTGTTTAAGTGTGATCTATGTTTAGTGTCCAGATGCAGCAGTTACAACAGATTTGATAGTCGCTGCACAGACAAACGGCTGAAATGAGTCTTTCATGTGTTTTATACTTAGTACAGTTCTTTATTGTATGATTTTGTTGACTAATCGATAAGTTAAATTAATTGTCATAACTGTAAAACAAGTTTCTCCAAAGGCAATCATACAAAAAGCACCACTTAAAATTAAAAAAAAAATTTGGCATGGAAAACTAATGTCCTAAAGAACCCGTAGTCGACTAAGAAGGGGCAGCCCTACTTTGTAGTTTTACAATTTGCTCATCTTGTGTTTTTGAGGCTGTGAAACACTGATGGTAAAAGCTCACAGTTCAACTGGCTGTCTGTATTTGTTCTCTGCTATTTTGTATTTTCTTTTACTGTATTTATTTGAGACCTATGCTGTATAACCTGTCGTATAGGGGAATTCTGAAAATGAATGTCATTTGAGATGACTTTCCCTTTAATTTTCTCAATCGTACAGTAAAATCTAATGAAATTAGACTTGGACATAGTAAGGGTCCTCATGAACACCAATCCAGTGAAAGGTTAATATAACCTCTTATGGATTTGTTTTTATAACCTGTAAAATATAGGGAAATTAAGAATATGAATGTCATTTGAGCTAACTTTGCCTTTCATTTTCTCAAAAACCGTACAGTAAAATTACATTAAATTTCACATGGACATATATGGGGTCATCATGAACAGAACTCCAATGGAAATTTTAGCTAACCAAGGAAATGTTTTTATTACAGATCAAAGAGTATTATTAGGTATATTATAGTTTTCAAACCCTTTTTCCATTAAAGATAGTACAGCAGTGTAACTCCAGATTTTATTATTGTTGGATTTCATATAGTATACAAAATACTGTCTTTGACTTGTTATATCAAATTGGGCAAATTATTGATCAAATACAGGTCTATTTCCGGGCTTTTTGGGCTATCCAAGCACCTGTACCTTAATACCACGAATAGATGAGCATTACATTTCAAGCGCCGGCTGACGTGACCGAGGTTCTGCAGATAACGGCTCACCTGGCTGCAGTCTTGAGGTGTTCTCCGAGCTCTAACACAGGACGGTTAGTTGGGGAAGTGCCCTTCTCTCTTTGCCAGGATGCTCCTCGTTGTCCTGGTGTGCAGCCTGTCTCTGGCTGTCACAGGACAGCAGGCGGACGACGACTGGATAGACCCTCATGATGATCAACTACGACCCAAGCACCAAGACGACAAGGAACCCTGCAGAGGTTGGGTGATGTTAAATATATACTGAACAAATTGCATTTGTTAACGTTGGCCTGCATGCTCGGAAGCTATGTTGATATCTCCGTTGTGACTAATAATATGTGTGTATTGAACATAATGCCTTGCAGCCAGCAGAATATGCCAATGTCAAGACAAGAGAGTTTACTCAGGACTCCAACGAAGTTTAGTTTAGCCAACTGGGCTTATTTGAAGCCTCCACCTATATAATATTAAAATCTTACAAAATTACAAACAACATAAGGAAAAGAAAAATAATGTGATTGTGTTGAGTGTGAGATGGCTTGTGTTTGTTCAGGGATTTTGGTTTAAACACCTGCAGTAACTCCTAAGCAATGGTAATGCTACAAGTCCCTATGAGTGAAACAACTATAAATATAATATAACAGCGAAAAGAAGAAAGACATGAACAATAATACATAAAAAAGCTATTACAAAACAGCAGTGGACCTGACGTCGTGTCGCTCTCAAGTTGTGGATCAACAGAGACAGGTTTGTGACTTTATGCATTTGTACGAAGTTCTTCTGGGGAAATTAAATAAAGGAATTAAAAGTTGTATGAGCTCGAGAGCTGTGGAGATAATGACAATCCTTTACATCTTTAGTTCCTGGAATAGGAATAGTTTAGCCTACAGGACAGACAGGTTTTTCCTGTCCGTTCTTGCAGACATTTACCACCCTATTAATGACATTTTCTACAAGAATTCAAGACGCATAGAAACAAATAAGGACAGTTGGCAAAAACAAGCATAGATTAAACAACAACAACAAATACAACTTAAAAACTGAATGAGCATAAGGTTGCTGGAGACATCAAAGACACTGTTCTTTCCTTCACTCTGCAAAGTGAAAGTTCACATCCTCTTGAGAACAAGCACCTGTCCGGCTGGTTGTTCTTAAACAAGACACTGAGGGTCTTTCTCATTTCCCAATTTTGTGCCAACTTGATTCCTCGCTCCTCGCTCCTCCGGCTTGTGACCCAGAAATCGATCTCAGAGCTTCATCTTGAAGAACATCTCAATTCCTAAAATCCATCTTGAGGATCGAGGAGGCTTGCTGGAGGAGCTATGAGCAAGGACACACAGGTGTATCTTTTGCGGAGGTGTTTTTAGCACATTTAAACAAATAAAAGAGGCGTGACACACAGCTGTAATGATCTCAAACCACGGCTGGACTCTACAAAAGTAAATGGTCCTTTATATTTTCATATTATTTTTTATTTAAGATGATCAAATGCCTCATCAAACTTTCTGTTTGTGTAGCTCCTCGTAAGGCTCTGTTCCAACCACATTTCTTAATCACATTCACCTGATACTTATGTCTTATTTGTTAAATACTCGAAATCTCCCATGGGCGGACCAAGACGTGAGGCAAGGAGGTGAGGAAAGGATTCGAGAAGGCACAAAATATCAGCTTTCTCCAGTAAACTCATTTCTTAAACATCATGTAAACAAGAATCCTGGTTTTCAAAATGTGGTTGTATTAGAGAAACATGAGCTAGATATCTCCTGATATTCAATTTAATATGATTTAAAACAGAAAAGCAGGTAATCTCTATATTTGTGGGACTGAAAACAGCAGTTTCTGCTATTTTTTCATCAAAAAGTACCTATCAATTGATTATCAAGTTGATTATTTTTATTGCCAGTCGACTAATAGTTGCAGCTCTAATAATTTCAGTTTTTTTTCCCATCTAGTGCAACCAGTGAAGTTGTACTCTGCCTGTTTGTGTTCCAGATTGGTCTGGGTGTTCTGATTATAGTGGCCATCATATGCACTCAGCTGTGGTCAACGATGTCCTGGCTCATGCAGTTCAGGAGACTGTTTGGTGTCAGCTTCTTCATCAGTATTTTTTGGAACTGGCTATATCTGTACAAGGTGAAGCTCTTTAGGTCTTGCAGCTATCATTCAGTTTTTTTGTTTTTTTTAGACGGATAAGTTTGAAGTACCATTACATCCTTTTCAGATTGCCTTTGCTGAGCACCAAAGAAACATAGCAAAGATGGATAGTGTCTATGAAAAATGCTCTGGACTGAAGAAAATTGACTGGATTGATAGCTTGAAAGGTGAGCTAATTACAAGTATATATACACAGTATATTACGTATCTTCAACCTATTATCATTGGATACATTCTTAGTATGAAAATAAGGATTATAGCTGCTTTACAGTATTTCAGTATTTTATAACTTGGACCCTATTTTCCCTTTTTTTTCTAAATGACTAATGGGGACAACATTTTTTGAAATAGTTCCAGTCTTAAGCCAGAGCAAAACGTATTGCAGCCTCATTCACATTGTGAAAATCAGCTAAATAATCAGCCATCTTGTTTGTTACGCTGCAACAAGTCACCATATTTCAGAACGAGACTTCTCCTTGAGCGAGACTTGGTTAGACACAATAACAAAGAAACCGGATCGACCAGACCGGCGAAAGGTGAGGAAAAAATGTTGACTTCCTCTGTAGACTCGTTTCTATAATGTTGTCAGACACAAAACAATCTGAGCCTGTGGCTAAAACAAGCACTTAGTGGACGTACATGGACGGGGAAGAATTGCCCCAAGCAATTACATTGCAGCCCGTTTAGCAGCTGCCATCTGCAGATGTTACCCTTTAATGTGCAAAATCTTATTGTTTTCAGTGTTTTGAAAGATTTTCTTGGAGAGGATGCACTCTCTACTACTGACAGTGATACTACTAAGCCTTTGAAAAAAGACACTATAGTTTCCACTGAATTAAATCGATCTAGTTGCTGTCTCAGCCCCCTCTGCTGTCTGTGGATGTTTTCTTGCAGAGTGGTACAGAAGCACCTTGACTCTTCAAGATGACCCTTGTAAGGAATACTACGAAACCATCTTGATCGACCCCCTTCTGTTGGTTCCTCCATTGAAGGTAGGTCACTATGATTGCATGTATGAGTTTTCACTGCACACAGGCTGTATTATGCTGCGTAATAATGACATAATAATGACAAATGGTAATACTGTTTTATTTTCCACTTAATAATTTATTGAGGAAATAGAATAAAGCATTTCCCTTTGTCATATAAATGTGTTCCCATTCAACATCGTCCTAAACTGTTTTAAAATTGGTATCTGTTTTGAATATCTGCATTATTTTGGGAATGGCACACACAAAGTTACACTCCAAACATCCCTCTCTCTCTTTAGGCGATCGTATATACCATCACGACCTTCATCACTGAGCCGCTAAAGCAAGTTGGACAGGGGATCAGTGAGTTTCTTGTTGCACTCCTCAAAGATCTACCTATTACCCTGCAGATCCCAGTTCTCCTCACTAGAAGGGGAAAGTGCTCGCAGTGTTGCTGCTAACACTGTAATGATCGCCGAAGTCTGCCTGTGTGTGCAGCAATTGTGAATGGGGAACCTGTGGGTTATTTTCCTTCACCTATATAAAGTGCTGTACTTGGGAATGTTATTAGTTGCCTGTAATTATTACACAGGATAGGGATAGGATAGGAAACGGCACAGAGGACCAGCTAAACGGACGGTGGTGGTTGCGTGAGTTCTGGGGACAGAGGAACCGCGGCGTGTCCCCACGCTTCCACCTGTTGTTGACTTTGTTTTGGGGATTTGTTTGTTTGTCATCTGACTGTTTTGCGTTACTTTAAGGAACTTTTGGAACTGATGGGACTCGGGGTTTGAGTGATATTTTGTAAATGCTGCAACCCGTATGCCGTATGAATTTGCTTTATATTAATATATGTTATATTTAACTAACATGTGTCGTTTCCTTTGTGTCTGAGGTGGTCTGTCATTATAGTGAATAACAGAGAAGACCTTTCAGCGTGTTTTCGTACCTTCAACTATGTTATGCAGTCAGATGTAGTGTCTGTATACCAATTCAGATCCGCCCATGCCCTTTAATTTTAGCGTATATATACTTTTCCCTTTTTAGGTTAATATAATTAGGTGAATTGTTACAGAGTGGTGTCCTGTATGGGGATATGAAGGATTAAATAATTAATTTTGATATTGGTGTTATGAGTTAACTGTTTAACCTGGAGGGCAAGATTTATTTTTCTTTTGAGTTTTTTGTTTCACACCTAAACAGCCCAGGTAATATTTGAGTTGGAAACTTATCCTAGTTATAGTTAGTTGTGGCCTTACAAATAATTAAAATTCGACCTTTGTGAGAGGTGCACTCTCACTTGCAAAATTGCATTGTTTGCACCAAGTTTTTTTTGGGTGGATGTATTTAGGTGTTTATTGTGTAGGTGATGGTAGCTATGTGGTACAGTTTTCACAGACTAATTGATTAGTTGAATTAATTATCATACCTGTAAAACAAGTTTCTCCAAAGGGAATCATACAAAAGCACCACTTAAAATAAAAAAGGAATTCAGCATTAAAAACAACTAATAACCTAAAGAACCCTTATTCGATTCAGAAGGGGCAGCCCTTTGTAGTTTTACAATTTGCTCATCTTGTGTTCTTGAGGCTATGAAACACTGACGGTGTTGGAGCTATTTATTTGATATTAGTATTTTATTATTTAATTAATAAGTAGTATTGTTTAATTATTCTAGATGTTTGATATATTAACATTGCTTTTTCTCTTTAATAGTCATTTGTTTAGTTATGAGGTGGTCTGCTATTAACTTGGAGTTAAATGTTTTTGTAACTATGCACAATTTCCTCAAAAATCTAATCTGAAATTAGACAAATTGTCTCATGAATTTGATTTGAAGTTAGCTCATGAATGAGATTTTGAAGGGCTTTAATTTTGAAATGCTACATCAGAATGTTCTGGTTTCTATCTGAGTGACACCTTGAGGTGGTCTGCTATTAACCTGTTGTGAAATGATTTTGTAACTATGCACCATTTCCTCTAAAATCTAATCTGAAATTAGACAAATTGTCTCATGAATGTCCTGGTTCTCTCTGAGTGACAGTAAAACTTTCTGATTTTCAATATGGGTGGAGTCAACGATGCCCTGATTACATTCCCCTGATTACATTTCTTAATTGGAAAATTAAAAATGTCAGATTTTCTCCATGGGGTGAGTCAACGATGTCCTGAACACATATACATCAGTCATTGTTTGGAATTATTGAGAGAATATTTTTTATAACACTTCAAACATTCAGATATCTACCTGTTTCAAATTTATGACATTTACTTAGAAATATCTCTGAATTGGTACAGTAAAAATATCTGATTTTCAGTCTGTGCAGAGTCAAAGATGTCCTGAACACATATACATCAGTCATTGTATGGAAATATTGACAAGAATATTTTCATAGCACCTTAAACATTTCAGAAATTAGCTATTTAAAGGTGCAATTTCAGTTCAGTTTGTACTTCGTAAAATATCTTAATTGGTACAGTTAGCATGTTTGATTTTTGTTTGGATGTGGTCAGAAATGTCCTGAACACATACATATCAGTAAGTCAGATATTATTAATTTCATTATCTTTCCAGCAACCCTCAAATCAAAGAATAAAGACACAAATTAGTTGTATTTTCCCTTTAACTCACGAGATGCAGGTAACATGTTTTATACTTAATGTTAATATAATTAATTTAATCTTATTTCCACAAATGCAATTTGTATCTTAGTTGACATCTTATTTTGGAAACCGGATGTTGTCTGACGGTAATCTTTCCGCTAATTTTGCAAAGTCCTTCGCTCGCTTGTTTTTGTCATTAAGAAGATAATTGCTCTTCCAGAATAAATCAATAAATTGTATTCTTCCAGAGCAAAAAAAAAATAATCTATACATTTCGCAAAACGGAATTTAAGACTTATTGACCAAAATATAATCGTTGTAGAGAGAAGTGAGTTCTGCTTTTGTGCGGCTTTTTCCTCTAAAAACTATACCTCCCATGAGCCTTTGCGGTGGACGTAAGTCGTGACAAATGGTTGTACCGTAAAGCGGTTCTGTTGTGCGGTAAGTTGTGATTGTAACACCGAGCTTCTTGTGTAGTTCGATCAGAGTGAAACGTATTTAACATTACGCGTAATATTGAAGCCTCCGCGTATCAAAGTGTCTTCAAAGTCGAGGTTGAGTCGGTGGGTCTGATGTTATCATAGCAGCTACCATTAGCATGTTTAGCTAGTTAACGTTGTTCGCTTTCACTTTCCTTGAGGTGTTCCTCTCGTAGCTATCTTTAACGCAGGACGGTTAGTTGGGGAAGTGCCCTTCTCTCTTTGCCAGGATGCTCCTCGTTGTCCTGGTGTGCAGCCTGTCTCTGGCTGCCACAGGACAGGAGGCGGACAACGACTGGATAGACCCTTATGATATGATCAACTACGACGCAAGCACCAAGACGATGAGGAAGCCTGCAGAGGTTGGATGATGTTAAATATATACTGAACCAATTGCATTTGCTAACGTTGGCCTGCATGCTCGGAAGCTATGTTGATATCTCCGTTGTGACTATATGTGTGTATTGAACATAATGCCTTGCAGCCAGCAGAATATGCCAATGTCCCAACCAAGAGAAGAGAGTATACTCGGGACTCCAACGAGGTGGACCTGACGTCGTGTCGCTCTCAAGTTGTGGATCAACAGAGACAGGTTTGTGACTATATGTGACAATACTATTTAAGCAGCCTTAAAAGTGAATGAGCATAAGGTTGCTGGAGACATCAAAGACACTGTTCTTTCCTTCACTCTGCAAAGTAAAAGTTCACATCCTCTTGAGAACAAGCACCTGTCCGGCTGGTTGTTCTTAAACAAAACACTGAGGGTCTTTCTCATTTCCCAATTTTGTGCCAACTTGATTCCTGGTGTTTTCGGCACATTTAAATAAATAAAAGAGGCGTGACACACAGCTGTAATGATCTCAAACCAAGGCTGGACTCCACAAATGTATTTATTTAAGATGATCAAATGCCGTAAGGCTCTGTTCTAACCAAATATCTTAATGACATTCACCTGATACTGAGCTACATCCAATTCAACTGCAATAATGACACAATGTTTACAAGTGCAAACAGCTGTGGATATCAAATTATTATGTAAATTGGAACCTTCTCTAATAAACTGTATTCCATGTTTGTGTGTATGTAATACAGTCAGGGCCATAAGTATTTGGACTGTGATGCAATTTTTCTAATTTTTGCCTCTTTGCCCGACTCCAGTGGATTTGAAATGTCAATATGTGGTTGAAGGATAAATTGTTGATTTGGTCAATCCTGATGTTTCTGCTATCTGACTGATAGGTTTGATAAGTGTTTTTAGACTAACAATGGCCTCCTTCACTTGCATTGACACCTTTTTGGTCCGCATGCTGAGAGTTCAAAGGACCAGCTGCCAAATGCTAATTTAACATTTTGAATCCTGTTGTCGGCATCATTTTTCATGAAATAGTGACAGAACCGACCACATCTGGCCATGAAACCGTTTGTCAGACAATTGTCCAATTACTTTTGACCCTCTGAAAATGTGGGGGACTGTATAAAAATGGCCATAATTCGATAACTGTTCATGTAATATTTTAGTTTTATCCATTGAATTAAAGCTGAAAGTCTACACTTCAACCACATATTGACTGCTTCCTTTCAAATCCACTGGAGTCGTGTGAAGAGGCAAAATTAGAAAAATTCTGTCACAGTCCAAATACTTATGGCCCTGACTGTATACAGTATGTCACTCTTTATTTGTTTAGTACTTTTTTGTACAAACATTTGAAGTGCTTCAAACAATGAAGTATATAAAGTCTATAATAGCCTATGTGTGTTGAATAAAAAAATGCGTAACATCTGTCGGGCATCACAAATATTGTGCTTTTCTTTCATTCAGATTGAAGAACTAATGAAGAAAATCATGCTCATCTCACAGCAGCCCACATGCAATCCAGTGTTCAAACGATTCCTTACCAGACTCCGGAAGGAAATACAAAGAGTTGGTTTGGTAAGTGGGCATTTCACATGCATAAAGCTGTGTTATGTGGCTTTGAATATGTCTTTGCTAGACCATACAACCATTTCACTGAACCTTACTTGCATTCATCATGTGGCCTACATTTGACAGTGCTACCTGTCCCCTTTTGTCCCCAGCCCAGTGACTCCTCGGAGGTCTTCTATGATGCCAAAGTCAAACTCTCCACACAAGCCATGGCCGAGATTCAGGCACTGCTGGAGGGCGAGGACAGTTGGAGAACAGGCGCTCTAGACAATGCCATCAGTCAGATACTGGTAGATCTCAGACCACATGACTACGAGGCCTGGAAGTGGCGTTTTGAAGACACCTTTGGCGTGGAGCTTGACACACTCTTAAAAGTAAGCTCAATCGATTATCAAAACAGTTTATTATGATTATTTTTATTGCCAGTCGACTGATCGATTAGTCGACTAATAATTTCTGGGTTTTTTTCCATCTAGTGCAACCAGTGAAGTTGTACTCTGCCTGTTTGTGTTCCAGATTGGTCTGGGTGTTCTGATTATAGTGGCCATCATATGCACTCAGCTGTGGTCAATGATGTCCTGGCTCATGCAGTTCAGGAGACTGTTTGGTGTCAGCTTCTTTGTCAGTATTATCTGGAACTGGCTATATCTGTACAAGGTGAAGCTCTTTAGCTCTTGTTCAGCTGTCATTCAGTTTTTTTTAGACGGATAAGTTTGAAGTACCATTACATTCTTTTCAGATTGCCTTTGCTGAGCACCAAAGAAACATAGCAAAGATGGATAGTGTCTATGAAAAATGCACTGGAGTGAAGAAAATTGACTGGAGCGATAGCTTGAAAGGTGAGCCAATTACAAGTATAAATACACAGTATATTACGTACCGTCAACCTATTATCATTTGATACATTCTTAGTATGAAAATAAGGATTATAGCTGCTTAAATCTTTCTGTTTAACAAATTCAGAATCGACAAATGTGGACACGCATGGTTTTCACACACAGCAGTGATTTGAAAATGTTTCTCACTCAAAATGTTTAAAAGGCCCCTGTTGGGGCTATTGATGGACTGATCTGAAACTACGAAAATGAGTTGTGGTCCTGCTCCTTCCTGCTGCTCTATATATCGGTTCAACACCATTGTCCCCCATTCACATTTAAAGGGTAACGTCAGTATTTTATAACCTGGACCCTATTTTCCCCTTTTTGAAGATTGTGCCAAGCAATTACATTGCAGTCCCGTGTATCGGCTGCCATCTGCGGTGTTCTTGCTCAATACTGGGCCAATTTCAAAAATCGTTGTCCCTGTTAGACACACAAACATGGGAACATATGGTCTAGTTTAAAAAACAACAGATGTTACCCTTTAATGTGCAAAATCTTATTGTTTTCAGTGTTTTGAAAGATTTTCTTGGAGAGGATGCACTCTCTACTACTGACAGTGATACTACTAAGCCTTTGAAAAAAGACACTATAGTTTCCACTGAATGAACTCTATTTAGTTGCTGTCTCAGCCCCCTCTGCTGTCTGTGGATGTTTTCTTGCAGAGTGGTACAGAAGCACCTTGACTCTTCAAGGTGATCCTTGTAAGAAATACTATGAAGTCCTCATGGTCAACCCCATTCTGTTGGTTCCTCCAACCAAGGTAGCTCGCTGTGATTGCATGTATGAGTTTTCACTGCACACAGGCTGTATTATGCTGCGTAATAATGACATAATAATGATAACGGTACATTTCAAACATCCCTCTCTCTCTTTAGGCGATCGCGGTTACCATCACAACCTTCATCACAGAGCCGCTAAAGCACGTTGGACAGGGGATCAGTGAGTTTCTTGTTGCACTCCTCAAAGATCTACCTATTACCCTGCAGATCCCAGTTCTCTTCACCATCGTGCTCGCCATTGTGGTAAGGACCCCTTGGGAAATTACATTGACACTCGAGATCAAATAATGTGTCTCAACACTGTTATATTCATTTAACTCTTCAACAGGTCTGCATGTATGGAGGCGTGCAGGCAGCCTTCCAGCATGGCATCGCTGCACCTTTTCGTCGTCCGCGGGGGGATCCGCCTCCTCCACAGCTCGAGCCGCCGCAGCCTCAAGTCCAGAGGATCCTGGCCGGGGACAACTTAGCAGGAGGGGACGCACCGCAACAGGCCCCAATGCAACAAGCCGTTGAAGGCCGGTTACACAGGAACCAGGTTCGTCAGAGGCAGCCCAACAGACGCAGGGAAGAGATGGGTGTGGAATCACTGGGCACTGCCGAGCCTCCTTACAGTGAGGATGAGACGGATGCGGAGCTGCGTGAGGCGGAGCAGAATCTCTCCGCTGAGTCAGATTCAGAAAGCCTGCATGAGACACTAGAGGAGCTAGTGTCCACTGAATCAGATTCATCGCCCTCAAAGACTAAACTGCTGAAAGTGAATGAAAAGCTCTCTCAAAATAAACTCATCAGAGACGGTGAAGCACCTCAATCTCAGCCAGCAGAAAGGCCGCTTTCATTAACTGATGTTCAGGTGAGTTCTTTCTAAATATCCTTTAATATCCAACATAAGACTTCAAATAGTGCTGTGATTTAACTTTTTAAAGTACACTGTTTGTTATCTTTTAATGCTTCAGATTTGCACATGCAACATGAATAGGTAAATACATATTTAATAACTAGATCATATTTTGAATGAGGCATTTTCATTGGCAGTATTGTGTTTTGATGACAGCTGTTGAGCTTGTGAATGTGAATGCCAGTAACCCATGGATAGATTTAATAGCTTTAATATGCGTATTTATTTGCTGCCACACCATATTTCTTAAGTTTTTATAAATTTTTCTTAATAACACTAGTTATAAGTGCAGTGGATTTCAACCGGGATGCCACGACATACTGCTGTTTGAATTTGATCATCCCCAAAATATCATTAAATTAATGTTTGATTAAAATTGGTTTTAGCTACCGCATCATTCCTCACTGGAACCAGACATTTTTATCTGAACATGTAAGGATTTTTGTTGAATACATTTTTGATGTAAACCCCCTCTCCCTGCAGGATCTGTACTCGGCTGAAGACGCCACCTCCTCTGTCTCGCTGCCAGCTGTTGACACTGTCGGAGTTCCTGTTCAGGAGACATCAGCGGAGTAGGCAGCTTCAACATCAGTCACAGCTGGAAGATAAAAGTCGTCAGTGTTTGGGGCTACTTGCTGGACTGTGCAGGCGGTGATGCCAAGGAGGGTTGATGGCCCCGACTGACTGTCTTACAGACATTGTTAAAATAATGTTGCATGTACTTGATCGTTTTGAAGTGTTGCCGACTAACTTTACCTTGTTGCTGTGCGGTCGATTGACGGTGCCTTTCCCTGAACAGAGTCACCAACACTGTTTGGTCAATCTGCTTATTATCTTATGATGATTTCAGCTCAGCTGTATTTCCTCAGTTGGGATGAGCAAAAAGTTCAATCAACCGCAGAGCAGCCAGACTGAAACAGGTATCAGGGAAATGGGAAATGTTAAAACCAGCATTACTTGATCTGGTGTTCTAGTGTGTCTTACCGGGGGGGGGGGGGCAGAAATCATGCTCTTACAAACTTTTTCCAGTTTCACTGTAATAATGGCAAATTATTATTTTATTTTTTTATTATAATGAACAAATAACAATGTTTCAGTTTTGAAGTTGAAATTTGTACATTTTGTAAATTAAAAAGAACAATTTCCTTCTGCAGTTTTTTTTGAACATGAAGTTATTTTTTGTGATTAACTGTTTGTACATAGAGGGCTTGATAGCGATGCGGAAGTCAGTGTTGCTGAACAGCGGTGCTTCTTCCCTTCTCTTTGTATTGGACGAGTCATACTGCTTATGCAAATCATGGGATTGCTGTCTGCATGGTTCGGCACATGGAGGAAGTTGAAATAGGTGATCGGTGATTCATAAATGCATAGACCAATGTGTATATTACAAAATCAGTTACTGATATAAAGTCTTCAATAAATTAAAAAACAAATGGGCAAGAATATTACGACACAAAAGGACAAGATGTTGAAATTTTTAAACTGCACCAGTCAATCTTTCAGGTCATTGTCTTTCAGACTCAAAATTTCATATGAATAGATATCTATATGTATCTATCTATATAAATCTCTCTTTCTATATATATGTATCTAGATATAAAAAATCTGTACACATACATATGTTTATGTAAATGTATATATGTATTTATATAACGTTTTGAGTCTGAAAGACAAACAATGGCCTGAAAGATGGTGCAATTTTAACATTTCAACATTTAGGAAAACATACATTTGTGCTTTCGAGTCATCCTCATGTATCTCAACAATAAATGGAGAACAGTGGCGATAAAGCATCTTAACTTTTTTCTTTTTTTTGCCGTGGACGCATTTCGCCCCTCTTGGTGACCGCTGGTGGCTCCGTGAGCCGTAGATTTGAGATCTCTGCGTCGGCTGAAACTCATTTCCTGATTGGCTGCCTGGAAGGTGCGTGGTGTTACAGATAACCCAGCTGAAGAGACTTGTCTCTGGTAAGTGTCTGTCCGTCTGTGGACAACTACATACCGTTCAAAGGGGTGCGTCCACGGGGACAATCAATCATGGAATTATTGGTTCGGTATCTGGACCGGAGCAACTCAAACAGGTAAGTTATTATTTTTAAATGACTGGCGTTCAAAACTAGTTTAGGGGCATGAGAAGTGTTGGAAGAGTTTAAAAATGATGTTTCTGAAATAAAGGCTAAACTGAACAATAAACTAATTTACATAACCTAGATGATGTTGTCCTACTTTTTTACAGCACCATTCATTTAATTCTTCCTGACAGAACCAGGCAGGTTTTTAAAACTGCGCATTCAGCTGAAAATAGCTGTAAAATGTGAGATAAAACTGGTTAATTTCTAACGACTGTAACAGGAGAAGGTTTGCACTCTGTCAGGGAGAGCTTGTGGGTGACAAACTGTTGGGAAAATATTGAAAGTGCACTCCCTGAACTAACCTTGGACTTAAACCCAGGCAGCACCATGAATGCAGGCAGTGTACTTGGTACACGAAGTCCTTCCTGTGAATGATGACTATTGCTCAAGTATATTATAATAAAATAACTGCTGCTTTCACTTCTGTTTTTTAAAACCCCCGAGTGCTGTATCCGGTCCCCCTCATACTGTTTTTGTTCTTTGTCTCCCAGCTCTGGGAAGATATTACATTTTGTATTGTAACTTCTCTTTTTCAGCTCTGCGTCGACTCAAGATGTTTTCAAAGAGGAGAACCTGAGAGATGACCTGAAGTATTACTTCATGAGCCCGTGTGAGAAGTACCGGGCCCGACGACACTTACCCTGGAAACTTGTGGTGCAGATTCTGAAGATCGTCATGATCACAACACAGGTATGTAGAGTGGGATTAATGTAGATTAGGAAACAAGATCCACCCAGAAAATGCTTGCTGTAACTACACTCTTTCAAGCCATGTTGTGTAGTAAAATCTGTATGAAATAATGTTGCTATTTGTGTGGGCACATTTAAACAAACAGGATCCTACATAATTGGAGTGTCTGTTGATGAAATAAGTTAAATGTAGTTAGTTGCCTTCACTAAGCATCTACATGAATGTTCCCTTTCCCCCGGTTGTTTCCTCCGTAGCTCATCCTGTTCGGCCTCAGCAACCAGCTGGTGGTGTCCTATAAGGAGGAGAACATGATGGCGCTCAAAAACCTCTTCCTGAAGGACTACAGCGGCGTGGATGAGGACGACTACTGTGTTGCTGTCTACACCCAACAAAGTGTCTATGACAGTCTGTTTTATGTCCTGGATCAGGCATGTTCAACCGCCTCAACGTACACACATGCACTCAATCCAAATCAATGTGGTTTTAAACTATTCACCATTTACCTGTTAATCCTGTGAAACAGGCTACTATGGGAACTGCTACGTTCTACTTAATATTTGATCAGGCTTCCTGTGATACGGCAGTTTGCAGCTTCTTTTCAACATAATGTAAATCACCATGTTTACATGTTTTGATTTTACCTGAGGCTTTTGATATTTATAGTACAGCCAGTTGGGCCGGATCTCAGTGAGTCCCCTGAGTTACGGTGAGGATGACGACGGCAATCTGCTGCCTCTCATCATCTGTAAAGAATATTACAAGAGAGGCAGCGTGGATCCCTCGGATGAGGCGTATGATATAGATGCCCAGCTGGAGACAGGTGAGAGGGAACATTTACAAACTTTGTTGTTGTTCGGTTGTCAATATTTCCCCTTGCTTTAGAGTACACCTGTCATTTTAAATGTCACAGTTAGGGATGCACCAAACTGATTTTTCAGCCCTGATAATGGTAGGGATACCTGGACTTTGGGAATCGTCCGGTACCGATCCAATACCAGTGTTTACACTTCTCATTGCATGTATGAAACAGCCAAAACAATTCCAGATACCAAATGCATTCAAGAATGAATTAACGTTACTTGTTGAAAGTTTTACATTCCTCGTTATGGTCGAACTTGAATTACTAAATCATCATTATTATTATTATTATTATTATTATTATTATTATTATTATTATTATGAGAGACAACATACAAGGGCCTTTGGGGCAATAGAAGATCTCAGACCTGGTGCTCATTGTCCCTGTTCATCTCCTCTCTCTCAGTTTGTATGTCACATGATCCAAAGACTGCAAACCAATGGAAAACCCAGAACGCATCCTTTTTTGATCTGGACTTTTACAGGTAAATGCGCTCCCTTCAATGCGCTGTATGTGGATGCGGCTAGCGCACATCATTTAGTTTTCTCTGCCGTACATTAAAATCCTCCATTTTGCTTTCAGGCTTGTTGACATGAAAATAACGTTTCAGCTGAAAGGCATAAACCTACAGACTGTGCGTTCCCGGGAGTTACCTGACTGCTACTCCTTCTATATTACGGTATGGTTCAGCCATATTTTCTGTCCTTATGAAATACAGTGTACATGAGCAGGTGAAATCTAGGTTAACAATTGATACTTTTCATCATTGAGAGGTGTAGCGTGGACAACTTCAAAAAAAACCTATTTTAAATTGTTTTGTGTGTTAAACATATAAACCACTGATTAAATAAATACTATTGTAACAACGCAGTTTGCCACACAGCATTCGACTGAAAAAAGTACTACTTTCCTCATCATTTTACTAATCTTTTTTTCCTTCGGCCTTGTCCCCTAGATAACATTTGACAACCAGTGTCACAGTGGAAAGGTGAAAATATTCCTGGACATAGATGCTCAGAGCTGTGCATGTCAAGACTGGAAGATATCTGGGACGGGTAAGGTGTAGTGGTCTAACGTAATGAAGAAATAAAAAACAATAGGAAATGAGAAAAAAAAAAAATATAGCTTCGAGTAGAAATGATCGTGGTCCAAGTAGATTGACCTCAATGAGCACTTTAAAACATACTACGTATGTTAACATTATGTAAGAGTAGGACTGAGGATTCAAACCCTCAACCACCCCCAGGGAAGGTGACTTTCTGAGTATGCAGCAAATTACGAGATGCTAATCCCAGAGTGTCAAAATATCCCAAGACTGCGGAGCGAAGCATCGACCTGGCAGTTTGGTTACAATCAATTAAACCAATTTTGATTCATGATCATTTATGTATAATGTAACTAGAAAACATGGGTCTAAAAGTGTATAACTATATGTATATGGGCCCAAAAAAATATAAATTCCTTTTTCTGTTGGTTGTCAGTTAGGCGTGTTCCTGCAAACTAGTAGTTATCAGTAATGAATGTGAGGGAGTTGCTTAAAAGATAAACCTGCACAAACACACTTTGTCTCTGTTCCAGCTCAGAAGAACACACACTATCTACTGGTGTTTGACGGCTTCGTCATTGTTGTTTGCCTCACATCGGCGGTGTTGTGCACCCGCTCCATCATACTGGCTGTCCGGTTACTTCAGGTCAGCTGCTCAGTCTCTGCTCACACTGTATAAAATCGTAGAGGGAATTACGTTTTTCAGCCCCCATCACTTCCCCTTTTTTAAGCCAAATGTCACAATAATTACAAGTCCCTTTTTTATTGCAATATCTAAAATGCCACCTTTATTGGATGTGGATAACTTCTTGCATAATCTGCAGACATTTCTCAACATGATTATAATCATGTTGTCTCTCAGTTGAGCTACCTACAACAGCTACTCTGTTGTAGGTTTATTTATTTATTTATTTATTTTTTTTTTTTTGTAAGAAACTGAATTTGCATTTGTGTATTTTCAGAGATTCTCCAGATTCTTCCATGAGAACTACAATCGTAAAGTGTGTAAGGATGACCAGAACGAGTTTCTGAATGGCTGGTATGTGCTGGTCATTGTCAGTGACCTCTTGGCCATTATTGGATCAATACTGAAGATGGAAATACAAGCAAAGGTAAACTGAATCATGTTCTTCTTCGTCATATGTCAAATAAATGTAAAAGGAGAGCCATACATTGTTTA